ACTCCAGGTCTTTGCACATTTTGTTATAGTAATTGGCTTTGTCCATTTGAGCTGCTCTTTGAAATCTTCTGTTCATCTCTTTTATCTTGTCATTTCTTCCGTTTGCTTTAGCTACTCTCCGTTCAAGGGCAAGTTTCAGAATGCTTTCTGACATCGATTTTGGTCTTTTTTTTCCCCTTCCTTTTTTTTTTGTTTTTTGGCCCAGTAAAGAAATGATTGCTGGTAGGAAACAATGTGGTTAAAACTGCTACCCACTTCCTGTCTTTTTAATGACCTTTTGCTTTCTTCACAGATGATGTTCTTGATGTCATCCCACAATTCTTCTCTCTGGTTTTTGGTTACTAGTGTTCAATGCAAATCTATTCTTTAGATGGTCTCTAAATTCAGGAGGGATATAATCAAGGTTATATTTTGGCTCTCATGGGCTTGTCTTCAGCTTCAACCTGAACTTGCGTATGAGCAGTTGATGGTCTGTTCCACAGTCAACTCCTGGTCTTGTTTTGGCTGAAGATAGTGAGCTTCTCCATGACCTCTTTTCACAAATGTAGTCGATCTGTTTCCTGTGTACTCCATCTGGTGAAGTCCATGTGTATAGCCACCGTTTGCACTGTTGGAAAAAAAGTATTTGCAATGAGTAAGTCATTGGTCTTGCAAAATTGTATCATGCAATCTCCAGCACTGTGTCTATCACCAAGGCCTTATTTTCCAATTACTGGTGATTCTTCTTTGTTTTCAACTTTTGCATTTCAATCACCAGTGATAATCAACACATCTTGATAACATGTTTGGTCAATTTCAGACTGCAGAAGTTGGTAAAAATTTTCAATTTCCTCATCTTTGGTGGTTGGTGTGTAAATTTGAATAGTAGTAGTATTAACTGGTCTTCCTTGTACATATATGGACATTACCTTATCACTGACAGCACTGTACTTCAGGATACATCTTGCAACATTCTTTGTGATGATGAATGTCACGTCATTCCTCTTCAGTTTGTCATTCCCAGCATAGTAGATCATACGGTTGTCTGATTCAAAATGGCCAAAACCAGTCCATTGCAGCTCACTAATGCCTACGATATTGATCTTTATGTGTTCATTTTTGACAACTTCCAATTTTCCTAGATTCATACTTTGTACATTCCATGTTCCAATTATTAATGTATATTTGCACCTGTTTCTTCCCATTTTGAGTCGTGCCACATTAGCAAATGAAGGTCCCAAAAGCTTTACTCCTTCCATATTATTAAGGTTGGCTCTACTCTGAGTAGACAGCTCTTCCCCCGTCATATTTTGAGTGCCTTCTGACCTGAGGGGGTCATCTTCTGGCACTATATTGGACAATGTTTCAGGGATATTCATAAAGGTTTCCAGTAATGTATCAGATAGTATTTCACTGCTATTCATAAGGTTTTCACCGGCCAATTCTTTGAGAAATGGATAGCCCCTTCCTTTTCCTGAGCCTTAATCTGGAAGTTCTGCTGAAACCTGTCCACCATGGGTGACCCTGCTGGCATTTGAAACACCAGTGGCATAGCCTCCAGCCTCACACAAGCCACCACAGTATGACAAACTTGACAGATGAGTGGTGGAATATTCTTACAGCATTTACAAATATGTGCATAGAAATACCATATGCCAAACCCATATATGGTCATGGTTATATTCCTGTTCACCTACTCATACTGAATCATCTTGCTTGTCTACCTATTTGTCCACCCATAGATTAATTTTTGTTATCACTGATAATGCAGTGTTGTGTATGTAATAGTATTTAACTTTGTTGTCAGTACCTCTTGTGCACCTCTCCATGTCTTTCTTTAGTGATATTATGCTGGTCACCTGCTTTTAGTATATTGCCCTTCCCTTCACCCAATCAATTATGTGTCTCTTACCTAGCTAGCAATCTTCCCTTCCCTCCAATCCTTGGTAAACACTGGAGCATTTTGAGTTGATTCTCCCTTCTCCCCAATTCTGTCTTCTTGTGACTTCCATGACCTGGCCGGCCAGCTCTCCTCCCTGTGATTACCTGAAGCAGTAAGGGAGCTCAGTTCCCATTTCATCAATGGGGAAGCCCTGGCCCAGAGTGGAAGAGACTTCCCAAGGAATCCTGGAAAGCTCCTGGAGGCCTAGTGTCTTCTGGGGGCAGTGGGGATTTCTGGGCCCCAGGAGTGTTTTCTCTGTGAGTCACCTGTATGCTTTCTATCTCTGTGGCCTGTCACCACATCCAAACACTGGGGAAAGGAGACAAGGCAGGCAGATGGCAGTAGGGGCCCAGTGTGCAGCCCCAGCAGCACCAATGTGGGCATGCCCTTCCCCAGGGCTGTGTTCCCTGCAGCTCTGCAGGGAGCTAGAACAGAGAGGCATGGGCAGAACAGGACACTTCCAGGCTCCATGACCTTGGGCTCCACACTTCAAGCCTTCCCAAGCCTTCTCCCTCTGGATGCAGGTGACCAGTTCTAGATGCAGCAGCACCAGCTCAGGAAGGGGGCAGGAAGGACCAGAGCCACCAGACACAAGTTGACTGCACCCTACCGTACACAATGATGGTAGCAGCCTCTCATTCATTCTTACTCCATGTCCAAAGCTACCCAGGACAAGGGCAAGACAATGGTGGTGAGCCATGAGCCCAAACCCTTGGAGTCCCTGCCTGCACACCCCAGGTCAGAGGCCTGACCTGGAAAGACTAATGGACAGGCTCTAGGCCCTGCCTCCTGGTTCCCATGGGTCCAACTCAGGACCTCATGGCTGTCCTGGCCATGCTGGGGAGATGAGGGGTGCTCCTGGACAGACCAGGGACAAGGACAAAAAAGGAGTCAGTACAAAAGGGTGGGATGTGTTTATTCAAGTCTCACTACAGAAGCATCAGAATGTACAGGGCACCAAAGTCAGGCTGCATCCCTGGCTTCTGGCTGGGTCGCGTGGCTCAGATGAGAGGCACTGGGCACAGCAGCCCTGCCAAGGACATAGGCGCTGGACTTGGCTGGTAATGTCAACTCTGAGGAGCCCCCTATTTTAAACATGCACAGGCCAGGCCTCCCCAGGTCAGGAATCCTCCTGTCCCACCATGGAAGCACCAACAGGATAAATCCACCTTGGAAGCATCCCTTCAACACTGAGGTAGGCTGGGCACAGTGCCAAGAGTAACTCAGGAACAATGGGCTGCCCAGGAAACACCTGGGGAACTAGTTTTCCTCAGCAGTCCTGGGTGACTTGACCCAATGCCCAGACTTCCAAAGAGACCACAGAGGCACCAGGGTCCTATGGAGTCCCCAGGTGGGCACCAAGGCCCAAGTAGACATCTCAAAGGGGGTTTCGTTTCTGAGACCCTAGGGGTCAGACAGGGAGCCCTGGAGGCTCAGGAGTGCTCTGTGGGGCCAGGGCCACTGGCATGGGGATGGACAGGGGCTGCAGCCTGCAGGGGGCCAGTGCTAGGCTCCGGGGACACCAGCAGGGGGGCTGAGAGGCCATCGGTGGGGTCTGAGTGGTGGTCCAGCCTCCAGTAAGCTTCGCACAGCGGAAGATCGTTAGCTTCGCAAAGGCTTGAGCTTTTCCAGCATCAGAGACCCCAGGGGGACAGGAGCAGAGGTGGGAGGTCAGGGCAGGGAGAAAGCAAGACAGAGTAGAGTTAAGAAAACAGAGAAAGACCCACACCCAGGCCCTGCCTCTCCTTCCTCTGCTCTGGGTGGCCCTGTCAAGGGGCCTAGTGGGGGAGAAGGGTGGTAGGTAGGTGAGCTTGGATGCCGAAGCACCTTTAAGAGAGGCCTCTCTTTCTGTGCCTCTGTGCTCCTCACTGACTGACCAGTGTCCTTCCTGCCATGTGCCCATCCTCCCCCTCCCAGCTGCAGCCCTCTCCTCTCTGGCTGTGGGACCAGTGTCTCAAGCAGATGCCAGTCTTTTGAGGCCTCTACGCTTTCTTTACAAGGCACTCCCTGACAGTGCAGTCCCCCTCTTGTTTCAGGGTCTGTTCCTGCCAATGGCCCAGCTAAGCAGGACCCTTAGAATTCTTCCTCCACCACCAACACCTACTGTGTGACCTCAAACAGGCCTCTTAGCCCCCAAGCCTCAGTTTCTCCATCTCTAACAGCATAGCCTCCCAAGGCTGCAATGAACACCCAAGGCCTGGCACACAGAGGGTACCTGCCTCTGCCCAGCTTGCTCCTGTGCCCTACCCTGCATGCCCCACCCCTGCCCCACTGCAGCCCTCAGTGTTTCCTCTCTACCTGGCATCCCAAGGAAAGTGGAGGGAGAGGCAGAGCCAGAAAGAGCAAACACCAAGTGGAAAGTAAGCGAGGACATGGCCAGGCATGAGGGTGGCAGGCAGCTCATGCGGGGAGTAGGGCGTGTGGCTGACTGGCTTGGCCATTAGTGGTCTTCACTGTTGGGGGTAAGGAGTGGTGAATGGCACAGAGCCCACTGCCCACAGCCCAGGCAGCCATCAAATGTTCACAGACAAGGCCAATGACCTGCTCTTCCCAGGAGCTACTTGGGGGGCTCTCCTTTAGTCTCCCCCAACCCCTGAAGATTGCTGGGGGTAGACAGGGATGCCAGTAGGAGGGCATACATTTTGGGAGCAGACACCAGGCTGGCTCAGAAACCCCACTGGGTGAACCACCAAGATGGACTGGGGGTGGTGAGGGCACTGGAGGCCTGGTGCTCAGGATGCTGGGTTCCATCCCTGCTCTGCTGCACAATCCTGGGTAGATCCTTTCCCTCTCTGGGCCCCAACCTTTCCAGATGCCCTAGGGACCAGTAGCTGGGGGACAGGCAAAGATGAGGACATGAAAGGATTCTGCAAAACTAAATAGGCCAGGAGCCTCATGCCCAGAGGGTCTGAAGCATGCCAGGTACTGCTCAGTACTCCTCTCTGTGGGTGTAGATGTTCACTGAGCCAAAGGTGGCCTTGGAACCCTCAGGGATATTCTAAAGCCATTCCAGCTGGATAGCCACATCTGCCCCTCCCCTTGGAGGCCAGCCAAGGGGGAACTGTGGTGTAATGAATTACTTGGTATAGCTCTTTTAGCCATGGTCTTTGTAGTGCCCACCAGATGATTAGTTGAACTATGTATATGTGAGGTACTTGTGACCCACCAAGAGGGTTGGATAGCTTGCTGATAATGTAAATAAGGTACATACCACTCTTGTGGGGGTGGGATCATGGAAATAAGATGTATGGAACCCTATTGTGGGGCTTGGTCACTTTTGTTATCCTACTAAGCTTAAAATGAGCCCTCTCAGAGGCAGAAAGGGGGATCTCATTGTCATCAAGAGAGAAGAGCTAGAGATGGAGTGTAGCGTGTCCATCGACCCAAGATACCTGTGCTGGACCTCCTTGGCTGAGATACTGGCAGAGAGACACAGCAGCTGAACCAAGAGGCACGAGACAGAGTGATAGGCTTGCCTTCCCATGGAGTGAGAAAGCTGAGTGCCTTTGGGCAGAAGCTTGCTGGTGGAGTGGAGTGCACCTAGGTGCACCTATCAGCAGAGCTAAAAGAGCTTACTAACACTGGCCAAGTAGGGAAGAGGCTAGGCTAAGAGGCCAAGGGCCAAAAAAAGATGGGACTATGGGCATGGCTGAGGGGAGGCTGTCGTGATGAACGAATTTTATCCTGAGCACTCCTGATCCTGAATTGTAATGTTACTTCCCTAATAAACCCCCTAATCGTGAGTATTGTCTGTGAGTTCTGTGTGGCCATTGCAACAAATTATTGAACCCAGGAGAGAAGTAGAGAGTGTAGTGGGAGGGACAGCTGGTGTCAGAACTGGTTAAAAAAAAAAAAAAAGTTGAAGATTGGTAGCATGTCTGACTTCTGTCTCACAGTAATCAGCCTTGGGCTGCTGATTAATTCTTTCTCCCCCTCATGAAGTTAGAAGAGGTCAGAGGAGGATGCTGCCCTCATGCCCTTTTTGCAGGGACCATGAGGAATGCTACTAAGTCCAGAGCAGGGAAGCAGGCCACGCTGGCTTTGGATGTTTGTGACTACTGGGCATGGCCTTCTATGGTGCACACACATTTTAAATCCACTACTAGGAAGGAAGAGAGGCATCCAACTGAGGGCACGAGGTGGGCATGGGCTTTGTGTCTACTGGACCAAATCCTGATTTTCCAAGCTACTGGGGTGGAGTACAAGGCCTGTCTGTCTCCAGCCTGTTTCCCCTGTGTGAATGAGACTAATTTCTGAGTCCCCGCAGCTCAGGTCTCAGCATCTATGTGGCCCCAAGAGGGCTGGGATGTCAAGTCCTGCCCATTCCCATATCCCTGGTGCCAGCATGGGTATGACACGTAGAAGGGCTCTGAAAACAAGGCTGAACTGAGTGGAAACAGGAGGTCCAGCTGTCCCGGGCCTGACTTCCAGGGCCAGTCTCTTGTTTGGGTTTCCCCTTTCCCTCCCAGAACTGGCCACTTTCACACTGTAGGGTTCTGGTGACATCAGTATGAAGTCACATCACATCCCTGGGCCGGCCAGGGCCTGGGTGATAAGGAGGAGCTGGCAGCCTGGGCATCCGTGTTCAAATCTCAAAGACTGAGCTTAAAGGAATAGCGAAGGCCCAGAAAACCCTGCTTTAGCAGGGTGTACCCCCAGAGAGCCAGCACCACCCCTCTGCTGCATGAGTACAGGAGGGTCCCCCCTTGTCCAGACTTGGCCCTCATTGAGATGCTGACCCTGATGCCCTCCTGACGCACGGGATTTCTGTGATGCTCATCACGGTGAACAGTGGGAAGGCCCAGGGCCCTGCTGGACGGTGGAGGACTATCTTCGATGAAACCCTGACCACAAACTCTGCTCGGCAGCCCGGCACAGGGTCTGCTGTCCAGACCAGGATGGCCACTCTGTGCAACGGCCACTCTGTGTGGTGGCCGCCCTATTTGTACCTGGACGAGTAGTACTCCTCCTCGAGCTCGTACAGGTCAATGGAGACCTCATCGCGCAGGGTGATGAGTTTCCGGTCACACTCCTCCTGCAGTGCACGCAGTTGCTGGTTACGTTGGTCAATGGCCTCGTTCACAGACGGGAAGTCATTGAGGATCAGGAACTGCTTGAGGTCTGATACAAGCTTCATCAGGGACTCACCGGCTCGGACCTAGGACATCAAAACCAGAGTAGGCACAGGGGGTGAGGGCCACGCTGGAGTCAGCAAGCAATGCCCTCTCTTGGAGCCTCAGTTTCCTCATTCGCAAAATGGGACTACAGTACTTGCCTTCATAGGGTCTGCTGTGGATTAAGTTGTGTCTCCTGAAAGGATATGTTCAGGACCTAACCCTTGGTACCTGGGAATGTGATCTTGTTTGGAAAGAGGGTCTTTGCAGATGTTATCAGTCACACTGGGGGAGGGGAGCCCTAATCCAATATGACTGCTGCCTTATAAATAGAAGATTTCCTATGGTTGGGGATGGTAATCAGGGCTGTGAAACCAGATGTGCATGAACAAGTTTGGCTATGTAAATTTGTACCCAAAGCAAGATAAAAAATAAAATAAAATAAAGCACTTACTGACAAAGATCAAAGACTATAGCCTTCAGTATGGATTATACCTCAACATAAAGAAAACAACAATCTTCACAACTAAACTAAAAAAAAAGTTTAAAAAAAAAAAAAAAAGAAGAGAAGAGACACAGAGGCAGACAAAGAGACGACAGCCACGTGAAGATGGAGCAGAGACTGGAGTGATACAGCCACAGACAAGGAATGCCTGGAGCCACCAGGAGCTGGGAGAGACTCAGGGAGCTCCGTCCCTAGCACCTATGGAAAGTGTACAGCCCTGCGTACACCTGGATTTGGACTCCAGCCTCCAGAGCTGTGAGAAGAAAAATGTCTGTGGTCTCAAGCTCCCCAGCATGTGGCAGTATGTCACAGAAACCCAGAGGAACTAACACAGGGTCATTGTGAAAATTAATTATGGGAGTGGAAGGGGAAAAGACCTAATTGCTTCTGGGGTGGGTCTGTAAGAAGTAAGGCCACAGAAAGGAGGGGCCTTCAGTCAGCCTTGGCTTCTGCTCCCCAGAAGCACTGATCTTCACATTACCAGCTATGCAAGCACAAGTTGGCTTGCTCAAACCCCACTGGTAAGACCACCGTCCCGCTCAGCCTCCTGCCCAGCTAGCAGTGGTGGGGCTCCCTTGAGACCCTTTCTTTTTCACTCATGGGCATGTACCACGGAGACATCTGGCTGATGTGTTGGGCTCACACCATGCGCACTGTCTTGTCCTGTAATTCAATTCCCCACACGGTGACTCTAGAGAACCCTCATGTAGGCATAGGTGGGTCTACCTCTCTAACCACCACCAGTGCTCAGTGGCAGATATGGCATTCTCTCCCCAGCCCCCGACAGGTGTGAGGGTGGCTCCAACCACCGCCCACCTACGTGTGAACTGCCTTCCCTGGAGTACCCCCTAAGGAGAGGGTGTATCCCCACCCACTCTCAGAAGCTGCTGAGGAAGAAACCAAAGGCTCACTGCATTGTCCTTTGCAGCTCATCCAAAGGGAGAGGAGGGAGACCAGCAACAAAACGACGTATACTGCACCCGAGGAAGCCCAAAGAGACCCTAAAGGCTCCTGGAACTGCTGGTCCCCTCCCTGGTGACTCACAATGTTGGCGGCTCGCACATGCATCTCGTAGTTGTCCTGCTCGCCCTGTGTGGCCCGGGACACCTGGGTCTCATCCTCAATCTGAGGGGCAAACGAAAGCCTGGCATCAGCCTGGCTGCACAGACAGAGTCCCGCCCAGCCAGCCTGCCAGCCCATTCACATGCTGACTGCATGCAAACACCCACATCCTACTAGCTGGGAAGCTCTATCAACAAGACCTTCTGCAGTGCCAGGTCCCTCCTGGCTTATTCTGCTCTACAAGGACAACAGGCATCTTAATGAGGACAAACAGATGCTCATGGGTTCTGACTGCTGGGCTTCCAGAGGAAAAGACCACAGGGATGAGGCCTTACTGAGGGCCATGTCACATTTGGGTGTGGAGCCTGTTAGAGGCTGGCTCAGAAGCCAGCACTCACTCAGTAGATAGTGCTGAATGGATGAGTGAAAGGACAATGTACTTCTCTAAGAGACCATTTCTGAGTGCCTCCTGGCACTTGACCATCATTATCTTATGAGATTCTCATAGAACCCTGGACTATCTTCCCCAGTTTATAGCAAACGTGAGCTGGGTCAAACAGTGTGCTTGGAGCATCTCAGATGGTAAACAGAGAAGTCAAGAGACCGACCCCACTGCATCAGGCTCCATGGTCCACACTATTAACTACCCCAACCCTTCAGCTCAGACTGGCTTCCCCAGTGGACCATAGAGGGCACAGTGGGGTGTGGGGTCAGAGCAGCAGGGTCCCACCTGCCATAGGTCCTACACTGCATGCTTGGGAGCCAGACTACCTGGGTTAGAGTCCTAGCTCTGACCATTATTTGCTGAGTGACCTTGGACAAGTTACTAACTTCTCATGCCTTAGTTTCCTCATCTGAAAGCAGAGAGACAATGGTACCTGCCTCACAGAATTCTTGGAAAGATGAGATGTGATATGGCAAAAACATCATTCACCACACTGCTAATACATACTAAACACTGAACGGACACTACCTTCTATTGTTATTGGAGTCCCTGGGTGGTGCAAATGATGAATGTACCCAGTTGCTGACCAAAAGGTTGGAGGTGAGTCCTCCCAGAGGTGTCTTGTAAGAAAGGCATGGCAGTCTACTTCCCAAAAATCAGCCGTTGAAAACCCTATGAAGCACAGTTCTACTCTGATACACATGGAGTTGCCATGAGTTAGAGTTGACTTGACAGCAACTGGTTTGTTTGTTTTGCTATTATTATTATTATTATTATTATTGGTAAGCCAACCTGCCAAGGTCTACAGGTCTCATGCAAACACCCAGTAAAGCGAGTGCAGTCTTCAGCAGGTGTGACTGACCCAACACAGAACCTGACCACCCTGCCCCTCTGGAGTGGCCTTCCTCAGTTGCTCCATTTCAGTTGCTCCTGTTGCCCCATTTCTCCCCTTGACTGTCCTATTCACAGTAGCTGAGGTTTATGGGATGCTTGCCCTATGCTTAGAAAGATAAACTCAGTCAGTCATCACAAGGACCCCATGTGACAGGCAGACTCAGTATCCCCAGTGGATGGGGAAACCAAAGCACTGAGAAAGCTATAACCATGCAGACCCACACAGCCAGGGAGTGGTGACCTTGAACTCCAACAATCTGATGCTGAGGCCCCTACAGCTACCTTCCTAGGACTTGTGACTACAGGCAGACCTCACAAACAGTATGGGTTTGGTTCCAGACCACTGCAAAAAAGTGAAACGGTACAACAAAGCAGGTCACACAAATGTTTTTGGTTTTCCCATGCATTAAAAAAAAAATTATATTTACATTCTACTATAGTCTATTAAGGAGCTCTGGTAGCATAGTGCCTAAAACACTTGACTGCTCACCAGAAGGCTGGCGGTTCAAACCCACCAGCCACTCCTCAGAAGGAAGGTTGGGCAATCCTACTTCCGTAGTGATACTGCCTCGGAAACCCAAGGAGGGGTGCTATGAGTCGGGGCCGACTCAACGGCAAACAACAACAACAAATAGTCTATTAAGGAGCTCTGATACCATAGTGCCTAAGGCACCTGACTGTTAACCAGAAGGCTGGCAGTTCAAACCCACCTGCCAGTCCTAAGAAGGAGGACTGGGCAATCTACTTCCACAGCGATACCAACGTGTAAACCCAAGGAGGGGTCGCTATGAATCAAATTGCCAGTGAGTTTGTTTTTTTGTTGTTGTTGAAAGCAGACCTCCCACACACAGTATTAGCTGGAGAAGGGTCATAGGCTCACCTGTCTCCACCCCTTTCCCTTGGTCTTCATTAGCCAGAGCCCCAACCCGGTGCAGGGAGCCAGGAGCCCCGCCACCTCCATAGCCAGCCCCACCCACCTTGGCAGTCTTGATGATTTCCGTGAAGTTGTCCATGATGGACTTGACGTCGTCCTTGAGCCGCTTGTTGTAGGACTGCAGCAGCGTCTCCTTGCTCTGTGGCAGGGCTCTCTGCTGAGCCATGGCATGTGCTGGAGTCTGTGGCGTAGGGGCCACCAGTTAGCGCCTGGGACCTAGAGTGGAGGAGAAGACTGAATGTGGGTAGAGGTATAGCCAACCTCAGTGACTCAGGAGCCTCCACCTTAGTATCCTCTGCCAAATAAACTTATTCAATCATTTAGTACAGGGAAACTCATTCGCGGGCACTGCCAGCCTGGGCCTCACCTGTGGCATCCTAGTACCAGCTCAAGACCACACGCTCTGCTCTGAGCTCCAGCCCAGACTTCTCAAGGACCGGCGATGGGGCGGCCCACAAGGCACTGCCGCTGCTTGTCCCTCAAACTCCCAGAACTAGAGAGGCCTGAAGGAGCTTATGTCCTCCTCCCCTCCCAACCGGTCTCTTCCCAGAGCTCACAGCACAGCTCTAGAGCAGGCGCCACTTAACTCCACCCCTCATCCAAGCACCAGGTCTTTTCCTTCTAATCCGCACCTTCAAATCCACTCTTTCCCTCCAGCCCACTCCCTCCAGTGTTCACATCACAGCCAGGTTGGTCCTAGAAAGTAACTTTAGTCCTCCAGCGGATACCTGGTGGTGCAGGGGTCAAGCTTTTGGCTACTGACTTAAAAGATGGAAGTTAGAACCTGCCAGCCCCTCCTGGAGAAAAAAAGGCTTGGCAATCTGCTCCCGTAGAGTACAGTCTAGAAAACTAAGGGGCAGGTCTTCTCTGTCATGCGGTGTCGCTATGACTCGGAACCACTGAAAATATACAACTCCCTTGAACATCTTCGACGGATACTCATGGCTCAGGATGAGCAGGCCTGGCCCCAGCTATCTCAGTCCTCTCTACGCCAGGCACATGACCCGCCCTAGCACTCGGACCCCCAGGCCTTTGCACATGCTTATCCCTGAGCAACCTTCTGTCCCACTGGGGTTTCTGCTGGGTCGCCCTGTTCGCGCCCGGTGGCTCCGGCTGAATGCTCTGCAGGGAAGAGACCCCACCTCTAAGCTCCCTCGGTGCCAGGTGCGCAGAACGCTCCGCACGGAAGAGCGGAGGAATGAAAGGGTGATTGAACAAATTTGCTTTGTGCCAATTTTTTGGGGGAAAATAATCACATATATGAAAAAAAAGATGAACTCACATCCGCCACTTCGGGGTAAAATGGAGTAATGTCTTCAAGGGCCGGCGGAGACGTCACGCGGTCGGCAGGACCGGACCCTGGGGATCTGGTGGGGCGTGGGAGTGTAGCGAGCGGCCGACCAAGCACCCCTCCTGGGAGGGCGCCTGTGTACATCGCCCGCCGCTGGCGCAACAAAAGCCTGAACTTCACCGCGCGCCCAGCCCCCGCTTACCGGCGCCTCTCCCACCTGGGCGGCCGGTCCGTCGTAGTTCTCACTCCGACGTCCCTTTCCGGCCGCACCGCTTCAGTGGTACCAACCGCGCAAGGCCGTCTGGAGAACCTCCCCGGAGCCAGGCAGGCTCAAACGGGTCCCATCTCTTTAAATCCAAAATCCCGCGCAGGCGCCAGATCTCGCGATCTCCGAGGTCGCATACATATTACCCACAATCCCATCCCTTTCTCTTTCGTCCATTCGCTCAAGATGGTGAGTGGGGCTTAGTCTTGTGCTGCTTATACTGGCCTGGGCGCTATCCGCTGCCATCCTCCTCGGGGCGCGTCTCCACGGGGCTCCCTCCTCTGCCTGGCGGCAGGGGAGCCCCGCGGGGCTCGGCGCGTAGTCTTCGGGCCGGGGTATCGGTCGACTTGGCCGCGGGAAAAATGGGGGTACGCAGCCGGCGAGGGAGGAGGGCCGGGAGCGCAGCGCCGTAGTGCGGGGGAGGAGTGGCTGGGGGCTCCGCTTATCTGACGGGCACTCGGGGGTTTGGTGAGGGGTCTGTGCCTGCTATTTGTGAATCCCTTGCCCATCGCACACTACAATGGTTGCTACAAGTTCCTTCGAGGGACGCAGATCTGTGAACGAAGAGCTGGGGTGCCCGGTTCTGAATGGGGTCTCGTTGGGAGTTGGTCGGAACGACTCACAGCTTTGTCGGGCCCATGCAGAAGATGAGAGAGAATATTTGGTAATAGAGTGATGGTGAGGACGCTTGATGCCACGAAGGTCGCTGATGCACGAGTAGGGGTCACGGCTCCAACCGCACTGCATTTACTCGCACGGGCTTTGTCGAGAGGGCTGGTTTGGGGCAGGACTTCCTAGCCAGCCTTGTCTTCCAGGAGCCGGTCCTCTCCAAAACAGCTAAAAGAGGTGGCGAGGGGGCAGCGTTCACTGGGATTTCTTTTTGCCTAGCCAAAAGGAAAGAAGGCCAAGGGGAAGAAGGTGGCTCCAGCCCCTGCTGTCGTCAAGAAGCAGGAGGCCAAGAAGGTGGTAAATCCCCTGTTTGAGAAAAGGCCCAAGAATTTTGGCATAGGTAAGTAAGATGGAGTGGCGACAGTTTATATTCTCAAGAAAGTCGTTTATTCAGCAAAAGTTGCTCAAAATATTTGTTAGAGCTGTGGGTTTTAATTAGAGTGGAGGACTACTAGAATTTAAATTCTCATTCTGCCAGTTTGTAGCTGAAAACTGCTCAGTTTGTCACCTCTGGCCCTTGGAAGCTGGCGGCCAAGATGGTAGGCCCTCTGTGGTTTTGTGAGTTGCTGAATGTCTGGCGCTCACTGCATTCAGTAGGGTGCTTTCATTTTGAAAGCAACACTCAAGGGAGGGCCTTGGCTTCTCGTGGGTAAGGGAAGGTACTTGGGCTCCCCATGTTCTAAGGTGTCACTGTGCAGATGATGTAAAAGAATATTTGCTATCTGAGGATGGTGATGCCATTGAAACCACCAAGATCGCTGATGCACTGACACCCTCTGAGTGACTCCAACATAAACATGACAAGGCATTTGAGCCTTACTCATTGCTGCTGTTAATTCTCAGGACAGGACATCCAGCCCAAAAGAGATCTCACGCGCTTTGTCAAATGGCCTCGCTACATCCGGTTGCAGCGGCAGAGGGCTATCCTCTACAAGCGGCTGAAAGTGCCCCCAGCTATTAACCAGTTTACCCAGGCCTTGGACCGCCAGACAGGTGAGCTCTGTGGTAGAAGATCAGCACTTGGAAAGGTGGTTATCTTTCCTTTGATGGTAGACAAGAGTGAGACCTTTTGAGGGGACTGGGTCTTAGCAGATAGGCTAGTTTTTTAAATCCAAGATTCTTTATCTGGTTTCCAGAACACCAAGATGGCTTCACTCTTAGCCTAACTGAAAAGATCATATATGTGCCCTTAGGTTTATTCAGTTGCATCTGCCAGTGCATCCTCACCAGAACAATGACCTAGGTTGTACAAGTAACAAGTATTAAAATGTAAGTGACAAACCTAAACTAAAGCATGTTGTCTTCAGCTACTCAGCTGCTGAAGCTGGCCCACAAGTATAGACCAGAGACAAAGCAGGAGAAGAAGCAGAGGCTCCTGGCCCGGGCCGAGAAAAAAGCTGCTGGCAAAGGGGACGTCCCCACCAAGAGACCTCCTGTCCTTCGAGCCGGTGAGCGAGCATCTTTCAGGGCTAAGTGGTGGAGCAAGCTGCTGCAATGATGATGTTCTTCACCTGAAATGACCATGAGGGGTGAATCGAGCTTTTTAACACTGAGTTAACAGCTGACCTGGGTGGAGGAGCTGCTTTTTGTAATCTGTGTAGCCAGCTTGCGCGTTCATGGGAACTATTTGTTTGTTGCAGGGGTTAATACTGTCACCACTTTGGTGGAAAACAAGAAGGCCCAGCTGGTGGTGATTGCACATGATGTGGACCCCATTGAGGTACAGGTGGCTTATTGAAGCACTGGCTGCTGACATAGCTGGAATGGGTGGGGTAGGCTCAGTACTGAGTCTGGTGCTGTTTCCACAGGAGCACAGTGCCAACCAGGGACCCATAGTGGCTTTTGCAGTGACGTCAGTCTTTCTCTCTGAATTAATCCTTTAAGTACAGACATGAGTTTTTTAACACTGAGCAGTTGCTACTAAACTAGCCTTTGAAATGATTACTTTGGGTCAAAATGTCTGTTCAAGATTATGCTGTCTTCCAGCTGGTTGTCTTCCTGCCAGCCTTGTGTCGTAAAATGGGGGTTCCTTACTGCATCATCAAGGGGAAGGCCCGACTGGGGCGGCTTGTCCACAGAAAGACCTGCACCACTGTTGCCTTCACACAGGTGAACTCGTAAGTATGGGACCCTGCTCCAAATGCAGAAGACTCAGTGGGTAGGAGCCCTTCCTAGAGTTCTCTTTATTTGTCAAGATTTTACCTTTTTAAAGGATCGGTGTTCTAGTTCAAGGAACAATTTATTTGAGCAATAATAAATGACCCTTTGCCGATGATGGTTAAGAATTTCTTCACCTGAATAAACCATGTGGTCATAATTTATCTGAGGCAGAAGGTTTGCATTTGGTGCAGAGAATTAAGTCATTCTTGCTTTACATAAGAATGAGTAAATGGTTGTCAGTGTGAGACAAAGTGTATGTAAACTGCTGTGTGGAAAGTGAATTTGCTCTGTAAACTTTCACCCAAATCACAATTTAAAAAAAAAAATTGAAGGACACCCCTGTGGTCTCTAATTGTTCCATCCTTCTAGGGAAGACAAGGGAGCTCTGGCTAAGCTGGTGGAAGCGATCAGGACCAATTACAACGACAGATATGATGAGGTAAGCTGTGCTTCCACACAACGCAGTGCTCGTGCACTCAGCTCAGGAAGCACCAAAAAGAAAAGTTTGACCAGCATGCTTGGGGAGCCACTGGAAATTACAGGCTGTGCTAATTGTCTTCCCTTATTTCAGATCCGCCGTCATTGGGGAGGCAATGTTCTTGGTCCCAAATCTGTGGCACGCATTGCCAAGCTGGAAAAGGCAAAGGCCAAAGAACTCGCCACCAAACTGGGCTAATGTATACAGCTGGCTTTTCTGTACATAAAAATAAAACTACTTCAGTCCATGTCCGTTTGGAATTGTGGGTTGAAGGTATGCATGTTTGTGGGGGTCGTGGCAAGTGTGTTCAAACTGAGGGGCCTTTTTCTTGTAAGGGCAGTAAAAAAGCTGGGTGAAACTTAACATTCATCAGATGACTCGACTTTGTAAAGTGTTTTGCTTGCTGGTCAGGTCTGGAAAAGCTCAACGATTGTTTAGTCATGGATAGAACTTGAATATTTTGAACCAGACCAGGATTTTCCATATATCAGTTAGAAATAAATAGAAATCAAGGTACAGTGTGTGAGCCCACGAGTTTTATTTCTGCCATGGGATCCAACATGCAAAATCTTGAAAGATGTAATATTCAGTGACTGGTTACTTCAGGGGCAGGATCTCTGCTATCTCAGAGGAGTCTGACGTATGAATTTTTTAAACCATAGGTACGCAGTGGCTGCACAAAGGCCATACCTGGGGTGGAGAGGTTACAAGGGTCACCTTCTGAAGTGGAAGTGGGAGGTGGGTAGCAAGCTAGGGACTTACCAGGTAATAATGTACTGCAGGTGTTCATTTCTCAATGTGACTCTTGTCTGGCCTCCAATGGGCCCTCCAGGGACTGTGCTCTCTGTAAGGACAGAACCATAGTGGCAGCACCATCCCCTAACACACACAAACCAGTTAAAGAGAAACGAAAGGGGAGGGGCTCTGGAAGGAGGAGGGGGGCTTTTACTGGCTTTTGGCTCTGTTGCTTTCCTTATCTGTGATTGTTAAATAAACCCTTCAGTCTTGATACTAAGGTCTTTTATCTTCTCTATTAGTATACTTTATTAAGTGATGCTGTTTCTTTTAGAGGTAAGTAGCCTCTCCCCAAATCCCAAAATAATTAGAAATGGGGAAGCTGTCAGGATTCAGAGAAAACAGATATTTACAAAAGTCGGGGGTAGGGGTGGTAACCACATACTGAAGTCGGCATCAATGAAGATGGGGTCTGAGCCTGTGACCCTAGCCATGGCAGCTAGGTCTCGGTAATGCCAGTAGTTCCTCTCGGGATTGTTCTCAGGGATGAAAGGTTTCCTGGTTTCTGTCAACCTTATCATCCCAACTAGTTCCACTTCCTCATCAATCTGGAAAAGGAGTATAAGTGTTCAGGATGGAGGGGTAGGGAACCCCTGGCTGCTGAATGGCAGGGAAGGGGGTACCCCTTACCTGGCCCTTCTGCCTGGTATCTGGGTTCATCTTCCTCTTGGGGACAAACCCTCGGTTTACCAAGATGGTAATTCTGGAACAATAGCAAAAACATTCACCATGTGGTCTGGGGACAGTAGTTTACCAGGGTTTCTGAATAAAGAAGACTGCACAGAAGTTTGCAAGCAGAACCCAAAAGTCAAGATGGTGTGAGCAGAGGTTCAGGAACAGTCACATCTCTAAGGAATGCTTCAGGACTGAGTGAAGACCCCATAGGAGTGCCAGGAACCTAGGCCTGTTTCTTGGGTTAAAGGTCTCCCCCACCACTACCACCAGCCCCTTGGAGGTCAGCCTATCTACCTCACTTTCCCCTGTGCCCAGTCTGTAACATGCCACCAGTGGTGCAGCCTCTGTTCTGCCACCCGCATCCCTTGAGCTGCTTCATCCACAGCAGCTTGAATCCAGGCTGGCAACCCAGCTTCTCTGGCTTCTCAGCACTAGCACATAGCTTGCTAGAATCTAGGCTTCCCCAGCCCTTTGGAATTAGCCTGTGCTTTCACAGCCACAGGCTCCCAATTCCCAGGATCTTGGGAATGACCTTTGCTGTAATGCTTCCCATCTAAAGCTTGGCCCAGCAATCATCCCCTCAAAGCCGCCTTTGGCTCTTCCCGGCAGATTTGGTGGTTCCTTTCCCTTGAGTTCTTGCTGGACCTCCCAGTACAAAGCCTTGTAACTGTTACTTTACAGGTTGTTAAGTAAAGAATGATTGGTTAAGAATTACAGTTGCTTAACAAATGTCAGAATTAGGGAATTCAAATTGAAGGAAATGAATCTGGGTCTCTTGGGTCCCCCAGGGCCTTACCAAGATAGGGGTTAAGGAAGGAAGACCATTAGTGTTTATTCTACCATCGCTGGAAAGTTAATGTGCCCTGGAAGTGTGCCTGCTGGGCTAGTCAGCTACCTGATGGTTCTACTCACCCCAGGTCAGAGCAGTGGAAGGGGGTGATGACATAAGCACCACTCTCTGCTGAGGAGGAGATTCGGCCAGCCTCCCGGGCCTCCCGGACTGGGTCCACCATGGTCCGGGGCATCATGTACAGCTCCTTGGAGTGGTCAAAGCGCCCCCTGACCTTTACTGGCCTGTATTCCAGACTGTTCAGCTCCATTGGGCTAGGTGGAGAGGGGAAGTGGGGAGCTGAGACCCTGCAAGGCCTGGCAGAAAACCATTAAGGCCAGAGTTGCCAACTCTGCAGCCCACCTGCACGGTACAAAGTTGGTTGAAGGGGGCCAGGGCATACCCTCCAATGGATCTGTGCTGCCAAAGAGTCTACAATGAACTAAAAACATGGAATCCTGTGTAAATATTTTATGCAAAATTAATAAACTATTACATGGGAAAACCCCATCTGAAGCCAAACATGGCCTGCCTGCTCTCCTGAATAGGACACCTCCCTCTAGGGCAGTGCTTGTGAATGAGGTAGGGAGAGCAACAGAATCACTTGGGACACTTTTTCTGAACACCACTCTGGTGCCAGGACCTCTTGTGCCACCACCCTTACCTGCAGCTAGGCATCACTCCTCTAGAGGATCTCAGACACATTGGACCCGAGAAAGGGTAAAAGCCAGGGCTCAAAGGCAAGCTGTTGCTATATCTGCCAGGCAGCCTCCGACAGCTTAGCAGGGCACCTAGCTTCCAATAGGAAACCCAGCAGAAAGTCTGATGATGCTGGGCTCCCATCTGACTGCCAGGAAGTGACTGAGAAGGACCAGGTGAGCAGAAGCCAGGGCTCCACTGCTGAGTTGCCCCGCCCCAAGCAGCCACACACTCACTCTGCTGGCAGAGGAATGGGCTCGGCCATAACTCGAGACTCTAACTCGGCAATCAGCTTTAGTTTCCACTTCCGACGCTGGACCTATGGACGCAGAGCATAAGCAGACACCCAGCAGACCAAGGGCTCAGAAGCAGCTGGGTAAGACACCAGTCTTTACCTGCCATGTCCCCAGGCCAAAGGCAGTCACCGGGATGAGAAGCAAGAGCCACTGGAGAAAGGAGTCATCCTCCACTTTTGTGGCAGGTGCTTCCGTGGAACTGGCACACCTGCTTGGTCTCCAGGCCACTCCTAGAGGCAAAAGAGAGGTGAGCAGTGTGGGCTTTACACCACCACCATGGGTCAGAAGCCCAGAAAAGATAGGACTGGAGCAGCCAGTTCCTCAAGAACTCTCCAACAATAATGCTTAAGAGAACGTGGGACAGGAGCAGACCGGTCCAAACTGCAGTTGGGAGCCAACTAGCAGCACTGGCTCTGTGCCCAGCCCAGCTCCTACCCAATGCCCAGTGTCTGGGGCATGGTAGGTACACACTCAGGAAATGTTTTTGACTGTTAAATGAGACCCAGGGCTTCTCTTGGCTCTGCCACCAATCATGACCCTGAGTAACTCACATAGCCGCCTCATGCTTTTCCACTCAGGAACACGCTAAGGTGTATTCTATTGTACTTAAGAGGCATTGGGTTCATTTCCATAAGAAACACTTAACAAGCAGCTATGTGCCCCACTGGCTATCATGCTATGGAGAAAAAGAAACATGGTACCCACCACAGACAAAAAAATGGAGGGTTACAAGGCTCTCTTTAAATTGTCTCTTTTACTATGGCCCCTAGCTGCCCTTCAGGTCTGGAATTTAACCCACACCTGTGGCTTCCAGCCAAACAAAAGACAGTCATAGGACTTGAACATTTACCTGAGGTAGATACATTCCTTGGAGAGAACAATCATGGGAGAAAGAAGGGCTGTTTAAGCACAGGGAGACAGCTCAGGGGGCAGAAGTGCATGGAGGGATGGACACAGGGAAGAGGTAACTATCTGGAGGAAGTGGGAGGGGAGCTGTTGTGTTACATTGTGGTAAACTAGTCAATGTCACGAGAAAAAGTGTATGTGAACTGCTGTGGAAAGTGAATTTGCTCTGTAAATTTTCACCCAAATCACAATTTTAAAAAAAGTCTCTTTTTCATTGCTCATGAATTTAAAAATGGAGCAGAAGGTTCCATCCAGAAGGTACCATTTACGCTCTCAAAGGATGACCTTTGAGGATGTCAGGGAAGCAGGCCTGGAGAGGCTCTCCTGTACCTTTCATTGTGCACAGCCCTCTACACACAGCAAACGACCCTGCTGGATGGTGAGAGGTGGCATGTAAAAGATGTGTCAGAGTCCCAGGTTTGAACCCTGGGTCTGTCATTCGATAGTTGAGACACTGGGCAAGTTACTTAACCTCTCTGATGCTTATTGTAACAAAACACCTGCTACAGTACTGGCAAGGAGCCATGGTGGCACAATGGTTAAGACACTCGGCTGCTAACCAAGAGATCTGCTGTTTGAACCCACCCAGCTTCTCAGCAGAAAAGACCTGGTGATCTTTGGGGCAGTTCTACTCTGTCATATATATAGGGTAACTCTAAGTTGGAATCTACTCCACGGGGCAGCTCTACTTTGCCACAGGAGGTCACTTGGGTTGGAATCAACTTCAGTGTACCCAACAACAGTTCCAGCACATAATCAAGGTTGGAGAAAAAGATGTATCAGATGTTGTTTTGTGACGAACCTCTTCAGAGTCTCCACTCAGTCCAGTTACTTTATTTTAATCCCCAGGATGCCCCTTCAACATGCAGGACAGTTAGTAGGGTGGCTTCCCCAGATCCCTAAAGCACCCGCTAGACACACCCTTCCTCACCTGGGTGTAAGGAGGCCCCAAGGACGCTCCTCCTCACAACGCTGCCCCGGACCTGCGGAGACAGAGGGTGGGTTGGTGGCGCGCTCCCGGCCCCGCGCCCCCACTTCCCAGGCCCTCTGCGTTCTGTACTCGCCTCCACCTCCGCACCTCCGCGCACCTCTCCCCGACCCTCCGGAGCCCCGCCCTGCGCACCCCTTCCAGGTCCTACGTGCCCCATGTTCACCTGCCCCGCGCCCACCGCGCGCAGCAGCAGCTGCCTCAGTCCCGCAGAGCCCAGGCACCGCGCCGCCATCGCCCCAGAGGCCCGCCAGAGCTTCCGGAGCGCGGGCACATCTGCTTCCGGGGCGCCGAGGTTGTCTAGCCCATGTGTGCGCGACACCGCGGCCGAACATGGGCGAGCCCCTAGCCGAAGTGCGCACCTTCTTGAGCCAGCACCCGAATCTGCGGCTCGAGCCTGGCGACACTAAGGTCCTCGGCGGGACAGGGCCGTGGCGCAGGGACGGAGCGAGCGGGACGGGGATACCGGGAGGGTGCCAGGCCCCTGACCGCGCCCTCCTTCTCCTGCAGGTGACGTGTACTCTGACGGGCCACGAGCTGCCCTGCCGCCTGTCTGAGCTCCAGGTCTACACCCGCGGCAAGAAGTATCAGCGGCTGGTGCGAGCAGTTCCCGCCTTCGACTATGCGGAGTTCGAGCCCCATATCGTTCCCAGCACGAAGAATCCGTACGTGGGCGCCACCTTGAGAGCGAAAGGGCGCGGCCACCACGAGGGTGAGGGGGTGGCCATCGTAGAGGCGAGGGGACCCCCACCTCAAAGCCCCTTGGGAAGGGAACCCTGTTTTCCCCACGTTCCGAGAAGGTACAGTACCCCGCAGTGGCGAGTCTGGCTGCTGGAAGGGGTATCAGAGTCTAGTTCTAAAACCCAGGCCTCCTCATGTCTGGCTCAGTGCTCCTTGCAAGGAAATGGTCTTTCCCTGAGTCAGGAGAACCGGGTTCCAGGTGGGATGTGGTGCTGAGTCACCTGTAATCCCAAGTGAGCCCATCCTCAGGAGTGAGGTTTGTCATCTGTGTTCTGTCTTCTAAGGCTCCAAGGGATGTCAGTTTCACATTCACTTGAAACCCACTGCCATTCTGACTCATAGCGACCCCCCATTGGGTTTCTGAAGCAGTAAATCTTTATGATAAGTAGATTGCCCCGTCTTCCTTTTCAGAGCGCTGATGGGTTTGAGGGAACTCTTATGGTGTAGTGACCAAGGCATTTGACAGCTAACCAGAAGGCTGGTGGTTCAAACCCACCAACCCCTCCTCGGAAGGAGGATTGGGCAGTCTAATTCTGTAGAGAGAACCGGAAAAAACAAAAACAAAAAAACCTCATTCCCATTGAGTCAGATGCGACTCATAGTGACCCCTCTTTGGGTTTCTGAGGTGGTATTACTACAAAAGTAGATTGCCCAACCTTTTTTCTGAGGAGTGGCTGGTGGATTTGAACCCCCAGCCTTCTGGTTAGCAGTCACATGCCTTAGGGACTATGCCACCAGAGCTCTCTTTATACAGGTACCACCTCAGAAGCCCAAGGAGGGGTTGCTATGAGTCAGGATCAACTCGATGGCAATGAGTTGGTTTTGGTTTGGTGGGTTTGAACCACCAGCCTTCTGGTTAGCAGTCAGATGCCTTAGGCACTGTATCACCAGAGCTCCTTTCTACTTAAAAGGGCATGTTGGATATAGCTAAAGTGATGGCTGACAAGGGTTGGGACAAGGAAAGGGTGGTGGTGAGTATCCCATGTTTGAGCCTTCTGCCAGGCTCTATGCTGTGTGTTCCACATATGATCTCATCCTGGAGCCCAGCTGTGGTACCCACCTTCCTGCAGCACAGACTCACTCACTCAGAGCATTGAAAACCCCAGGCTACCCTGCAGACCATTCCTATCAGACATGTGGGACTGGGCCCCTTGATTCCCAGATGCAGCCAGGACAGGAGGCCATCGTCCTGGCTCCTTTCTTGTGAACTATCCCTGAAAACCAAGACTTCCTTGTCCTTCAGGCACCAGTTGTTCTGTAGACTCACCCTGCGGCACATCAACAAGTGTCCAGAGCACGTGCTGAGACACACCCAGGGTCGCCGCTTCCAGAGGGCACTGCACAAGTGTGAGTATTACAGGGCTCCTTCAGAGAAGGCACAGCAAAGTGCATTCTGGCAGTGTGTGGCTTCTGCCACCCTCAGTCATCTGGTTTGTGCATGGCGCATGTGGACGGCAGTCCCGACTGCATGGCTCAGTTTAGCAAGAACCAGACGCAGAGCCAGAGGCCAACTCAGAAGTGACTGCTGGTGTGGTCCACGTGGTACAGGAGTTGGTGCCAAGGGAGTAACTGACTAACTGGAGGCTGGCCCTGGGTAGGAGGGCTGGAAGGCTCCAAGGGTTTCTGTCTAGGTGAAGCTGGAAGGACATGAGAGCTGGGGGCAACAGGGAGAGGAGATAGTCGTGCAAGGTCTGAGACAGGGCTACTGTGCCAACGTGTAAGGGGTATGGGGAGGTAGGGGACAGGCCATGGAGCGCATGGTGGAGTGCACTGCCAGGGCTGGAATAGGCAGGGACACTCCAGTTCCTATCCCAGGGCTGTACTTGCTGAGGAGAGTGGACTGGGGGCAATGGGTAGCAGCCGAGGGACTTTTCTATGCTGGGGACACAAGCCCAGCCCCACGCCCCTCCTGAACCAGAAGATCCCTCCCTATGCCAGTTGTGCAGCTTCTTGGGGTCATCAGCACGTGAGTGGACAGTGATTCCAGTGAGGTCCTTCTGTGGAAGCCCCATCCGAGCTCTGCTCAAAGTCCAGTGTTGGCAAGGGCTGGGCAGTCCATTTCCACCAAGCCACCCATCCAAGGTGGTGTCCTGGGCCACTGCCTGAAAGAGAGCTGTAGCTACTGGGCTGGTGACAGGCTGGTGATATGCTAGCATCCCCTCTAGGCTGAGCTGCATTTGAAAGCTGCATGCTAGTTCTACCTGGGCCCGGCTTGTCCACTCCTGCCTGCTCAGCACATCCCCTGCCATACCTTGTGGCCTAGCTAGAACCAGAGGAAGGGAAGGTGGCAACCAGTAGACCTGCACCATCTTCTTCCCTCTCGGCCACAGCCCATGCCTCCCATCCCTGCTCCATGCCAGATGGGAGCTGGGCTGGTGGCATGTCCTTGCTACTACGGGGTGGGAGTCCAGGGCCCTGACTATGTAGCACTCACGGATCAGCTTGGAGCCCAGAGCGCCGTATGTGCTGACAGGGCCCCTGCTGCCCACCAGATGAGGAGTGTCAGAAGCAAGGGGTGGAGTATGTCCCAGCCTGTCTGCTGCATAGGAGGCAACGTCAGAAAGACCAGACAGATGGTGGCAGGCTGCCTGGCAGAATGGGAGACTTCTGGGAACCTGCATCCAGTGATGAGGGAGGAGCCCAGAGTGACGACAGCATGACAGATCTATACCCACGTAAGCAGGCACACCCTCTTCTGGGCCAGCCCCACACACGTCTATGTCTGTATCCTCATCCTTTCCTGTGCTGTGAGTGCTGGGTTCCATGAACAGCTCTCCATACCCCCACGCCCACTGCAGTTAGCATCTCTGGCTGTCACTCCTTCCTCTGCTCCTTCCAGCCAAGCTATTTACCAGAAAGGACATTGGAGGGACCGAGAACGGGGGCAGGACTGACTACTGTTGGATGGATAATGAGGATGACATGCCACAGCCTAAGAGAGAGAATAATTCTGGAAGCAGAAGAGAGGGGATGGACATTAGTCAGGCAGTGGTCCAGAAGCACAGGAAGGTAAGCCGACCTGCACAACTGCCACGGCTGCTAGCACGGCAGCTTCTGCTAGTGAGGATTTTCAAATTCTTCACAAAAAAGAAAAGAAAAAAAACTTAGAATCTTCCACACATGAAATCACAAGATAACAACATAAATGAAAGTGAGCCAGGCCTTCTCTGACGGAGGATCATTGGACCTTCCCCTTGCTTCCTAGCTGTAGCTGCCTAGGAACCTCTGCACACAACAGGGCTCCACAGCGCAGGGAGAAAACCTGAAACACAGACTAGTGAACTGGGAGTTAAAATTGGTTGGTTGGTCAGTCAGTTGGTCGGACCGTCAGCTGGTCGGTTGGCTGGCCACTGCAGAAAAGTAACCTAGGGGGAGAGACAAACCAATTGCCATGGAATCAATCCCAACGCCCGTGGGTGTCAGAGCAGAACTGTGCTCTTTGGTGTTTTCAGTGGCTGATTTTTTGGAAGATCACCAGGCCTCTCTTCTGAGACACCTCTGGATTTGAACCACCAACCTTTTAGTTATCAGCCAAGTGTGTTAACTATTTGTGTCACCCAGGGCACCCTAAGCAACTTAGAGCAAAGTGTTTAATTACTAGATACCATCCTTTATCTTTGCAGTAGGGTCAGGAATGAAGATTTTGACAGATAACCAGGACTGGGACCAGAGAAGTCCCAGGTCTTTACTACAAAGCTTTGAAATGCTAAGTGTTACCCTTTAGTATGTTCCATGGGGATACTGCCTGTCCCAGCAGTGTGGGTGAGTAGGGCAGCCAATGGTGGGTTCTCAGACCAACACCTCTGGATGTGTGTGGGGTAGGCAACCTGATCCACTGAGCTCCACCCTGGAATCAGAGAGGAGGCCTTTGTAACTGGGATCTGTTTGTGTCACAGAAGCAGCTGGGCTCACTGAAGAAGAAGGTGAAAAGTCACCACTGCAGACCTAAGAGCTTCAATTCTAAGAAACAGTCGGACTAGTACCAAGCACCAGAGAGAATGCACCGCCAGCCTGTTCCTCCTTCAAGCCTACCCAGTGTTGTCCCAACATGCCTTCTCCACCCATCTTGCTGCCCCCAAGGCAGGGCCAAGATGGGGGAGTCCTGCCTCCACCCCCAGGAAGCAGCTGTCTTGAGGAAGGGAACAGCAGTGGAATCGGCTGAGGTCGCGATGGCAGGTACAGGGAGCCAGATGATCAAACTCTATACAACAAATGCCATTATTTATTTTGACGTGTTTCCAAAAATCAAAACGTTTTCAAACACAACTAAGATATAAAATACAGCATAAATGAGATTTATACCTATTTCCCATGTAAAGCGGAAATTGTTTTGCCAAAACCAGTTGGTAGATCATATGGCCCCAGCACTGGCCCATTTAGGGCCAAAGGAGCGGCGGGAACAACTGGCAGTTGAGGCTGCTGGCGCAGACTCACAGTGACAACACTGTGTGGCCACACGGGTCAGCCCTGCTTCCACAAAGCAAATCTTCCAAGCACGGGACAAAGGAGAACCCATCAACTGCCAAGAACAGTGGCCAGATGGCATGACCAAGTGTCATTTGATGGGGTGGTTGTCCTGTGTGGACAGGGGTGTGGCCCAGGAAGTTGAGGTGCTATGGTAGAACCAGCCTTCCTATGATGGCACAGAAAGAGCCCCTCTGTCCTGAGCCATTCGTCTTACAAATGCTGGGAGCATGAGAGGGGGTCCTTGTGGAGAGGCTCAGGAACAACTGGGAACCAGCCTCCCCGGGCTGGGATACACACAGGGGAAGGCTAGAGAGGGCGCCTGTCACCCTGCCTGATGAGGTGGGCCAAGGCCTGTCCCTGCCCTCACCGATTCAGGACAGCCCAGAGCCAGCGCTGGGGACAGGACTGAGTCTCGCACACCTGGCTGAAGACATAGTTCAAGCTCCAACTTAGGGCTACTGGGCCTTCAAGGATCTAACCCCACGGTGGGTGTGAACTGCTACCGTGGTACCACTCCCCATCCCACACCCCACCCTCACCCCCAGTGCTAGGGGCTGAGCCTTGCTCAGCCTCAGCCCGTCTGCTAGCCCCTTCTATAATGATCTGTATCAAGTATACCCCCCAAGAAGAGAAACACAGTTTAAGGCAATGTTAGAAAACTTTAAATCCAGATTAAGATCAAATCGGTAAGGCATCACATCATAGAGAGGAATTTTGGCTACATTCAGCATAGCAAGACAGTCTGAGCAAGCAACAGCCTTGTGAGAATGGTCAGTCAGCACCTCAGCTGGACACCCCTTGGCCAGGAAGCTGTGCAGGCACTACTGCAGGCCAGCCACTTATAGGTTTGAGACCTTGTTCTGTGGAAAGGTCAAGTGTGAGGTAACTAGACCCCATGGGTCCTAGTCTGCTGTCACTGCTACCCCATGACAGCTGTCCCCTCTGCAGGCTGGCCAGACAGGAGGTGGCCAGCTAACCAGAGGGGTGGTGCTGCTGGCAGGGCTGCTTGGTGTAGTGTCCTGGCCAGCCCTCCTGTATGCAGGCTCAATTCGTACGGAGGCATCCGACCCACAGCAGCCCCTCCCCATGGCTACTCCTGATGGGCATCGCCCAGTAGAAGCCCATGCACCAAACCAACCTTCTGACAGGGACTTCTACCATGAGCAGCAGCTCCAGTCGCCCCTTTTAATACTGCATCACTTCTTTAGGTTCTGAGTTTGTCTGATTTTTCACTATTCCCATAAAGTATTACAGTGAGGGGTAGAAACAACCTTGAAGCCACCAGTACGATTTTAAGCTAGGGAGTTTTAACAGCGTGTGTGACATTTGGCCAGGCTACCCCAATTCCCCAAATCATTTAGTAGTTTTAGCTAAGAATGTAAACTTTGAAAATAATAAGAGGGAGACCGTGTTGAATGATACACAAATGTATCTGCTCACAGTACAGCTCAAAGGCCTCCCTACCCACCCCCCAAAAAAAGAGAAACAAACACAAAAATCAGACCAAGGGGCCACAACCAGCCAAGCTGCCCCTCATGCAGCCAGGCTGGGCAGGACGAACCATCCGGCCAGCAGTGAATACTCAGATGCCAAGTTACGGTTCCAAGGCAGGTGTAGCCATCGATTTTCACGTGTCTCTGCAAATAAAGTTCTCAAAACATCTTTGCCTTTACCAAGGGAGGGGAGGAAAGAGGATACATAAATGCTGGCAGTTTTGTTGAATCCATTTTGGATGGTCCTCGGCGGCTGCAGGCCCAAGCCAGGCAGGGAGAGGGCTGTTACCATTCCTTCTTCTTCTCGTCCATGGAGACACCCCCCGGGCCCAGAGCCACCACCAGAAGCAAGCCTCCGATCACCGACATGGTCTGGAAGAAGTCGTACTTGAGGAAGTCGTGCATGGGCTTGTACACGGGAACGGTCCAGAAGGCGTTGAAGTACACGTTGATGGCAAAGAGCCAGATGACAAGAGTCAGAGCCGCCAGCTTGGTTTTAAAGCCAATGGCCACCAAGACCATCAGAGCTGTGCCCACAATGTTCTGGAGAACCTGCACCAGACACAAAGGGAGAGACTGAAAAGGAAGGGAGGGAGAAAGGCGGGTCGCAGTTTCTAAGCTGGCAGGCTCTGAGCATTCCGTACCACTGCAGTGCTATGCTGGCTTCACACGACTCAGGGTACTGCAGGGAGATGGCCACTTAAGAGACAAGACACAAAATTAAGAGTTGGAAGTGGTAGGGGTGGCAGGTAGTAAGTATCGCAACACCACCAGCTCTGAAGCAAGAAGGACTAGGGAGAGACTAAAGAAGTCCCCAATGAACAGCTGCAACCTACCAAGCGACACACAAGTTTGTACACGGACCGCTAACTTCAAGTCCATGCCCACCCAGTCATCCCAGCTTGGAACTGCCTCCCCTCTGCCCTAGGCGCTGGGGGTCCCTTCTGGGAGCTGTCCCACAGGGGCTCACCAGCCTCTCAGGGCTTGTCCCAGGTTCTGAAAGCTTCCAAGGCAAGGACAGAGCCTTCCGTCTCTGTGACCTCAATGCTTGGCAGGCAAAGGGGACTCAAACTCAGCTAAAGTCTGCTGAGTGAACACAAGCAGACAATAGGGTATCAGCCTCGAGGATCCTGGGCAGCAGCCCTAGGACAAGGTAGAAAGAAAGCTTCTCTGGTCCACTAGCAAGGCAGGTTTTTGCTTTAACAGGATCAATAGATCACTTCCTCTGAACTATCTGGTCCCAAGTGTGCTGCAGGCTAATACTGCAGCCTTCGCTCAGCTTCACGAAAAACCAGGGAAGGTGAGGGAGGTGCCTAGAGGGTGGGGAGAAGAACAGCACTCTTCCAAAAAGGACATGAGCCAGGTAGTCTGAGCAGCAGGATACTCACGGAGAAGAAGCTGGCATCAAAGTGAAGGAGGGTCATGAACATTAAGACCAGCAGGACCCTGCCTCCGAGCTGCATGTACTGTTTGGGAGAGCTCTCCCGCATGGTGGGGACGCCTGCAAACATGCTTTTCCCTTCCGACCGTGACTCCGCCAAGAGCAGCAGCAAGCCCCCTCCCAGGGCCAGGTTCCTGGGAACAAAAACACCAGACGGACTATGAGTGAGTGCTAATCAGACATGAAGTGTGTGCCCCTTCTCCAAACCAAACCACCTGCTGAGCAGGACAGGGCAGCACATGGACAACTGACAACAGTGCCAGGGAACCTAGACACTCAGAACCAGATTCTACCCTCACTGGCACTGCTGATAGCTGGGTGATAGCAAGTGATTTCAGTCTCACTGTTAACTCGGGACCTCTGGTGGCACAGTGGGTAAGTGCTCAGTTGCTGCGCAAAAGACCAGTGGTTCAAACACACCAGCTGCTCTGCAGGAAAAAGATGAGGCAGTCTGCTTCCGTAAAGATTCAAAGCCCTGGAAACCCTAAGGAGCAGTGCCACTCTGTCCTAGAGGGTCACTATGAGTCAGAATCGACTCAATGGCAGTGGGTGGGGTAATGCTGGGGCATGGATGGGGAGAAAAGGACTTTGCCAGTGTCCACAAGAGATGCTGCTCCTAAGTGGCTCAGTCTGGACCCAAAGCAGCTCTCCTCCATGCAATGGCACTGAGATTAGAGCATGAGAAAAGCACAGGCACTCACCTCCCAGAGGGCACCTACCTCATCAAGAACTTCAAGTCCCATAAGATGCTGTAGGCGATTGTCTGTAGGGAAGGGAGAAGAGAGGCTAAAGTCACAGCCTCTGCAAATAACTGTCTCCACACAGCTAACAGTGCGGGACAGTTTTCCTCACATGAGTGAGAAGGTTTATAAAGCACACAGCCAGCTCTAGGACACAGAAGACAACGTCCAGTGCAAACCTGGGTTGCGTGTTTCTTAGCAAGTGTGCTGTGTGGGCTGGGGGCCAGTCTCACAAGCCTGCTTCACCATCAGACCTGTACCCACAGCATTCTGAGAACAGGCCGATTCTGGAACCATGGATCTGGGTTAAAATTCTACATTTTCAACATTTCACCCTGAGCACTGAGTACTCCTCTCTTTGAAGTGGTGTGATAACAAAATAGGACCTCATGTCTTCTCCTCTGTCGGTGGTAACTCAGGGAAGTGGCAGAAGATGGGCATGCAGCCAGTGCCCCCATGCCTATCAGGAGCCATGAGGCTCTCCTGAGCCACCCTTGACAGAAAAGGGCTTCAGGCAATCAGGTCGGCCAAGGGTTGGAGGGAGGAGGCCCCTTTCCATGCCTTTCAGAGAAGAAAACCGAGATGACAAGCCGCTTACCTGCAAGGCTATGATTCCAAAGAGTCCGAAGCACGCATACTGCACAAAGTTCCTGCTCAGTACCAAGACACAGCCAGCTGGGAAGAAGAGGGTAAGGTCAGGGCACTGGGCAAGTCCTGCTTGGCAGAAACACTGCCCAACGCATAGCCACCTCTCCCGGCCCAGTGCAGCTGGAGCCCAGCCAGCACCCTAGCAGGCAGCAGTGTCAGGACAGTGAGGGCAGAACTGGGCCATGCGTGCACACAGACTGGATAGGTTAGAACATGAGGCTTGAGGGTGGCTGTGATAGGAAGAAAGGGCCATCTTCCAGAGTCAGCCATTCACTAGAAGTGGTAATGAACTGCTCTGCTGTGAAGGGCTTGGAGAAAAGTCCCTTTCTTGTCCCGTAATTTAAAGGGCGGGGGGAGGGTGACGGATGGACAAGATGGTCTGTCAGGGGCAGAGGGAAGCTCTGAAGCTGGCATGCACCTCTCTCAGCCTGACCCATTCCCGCTCTGTGACTGAAGTCCTATCCATCCTTTCTAGACATGTTTGCCTGAGCTCCTGCACTAGCCTCTGAGACCCTCCAGTATCCTTACACCTGCTTTGGGTCCTTAAGGACAGGGACTATGTCCTGTTCCCTTGGCCAGCCCCAAAATCGCTAGCCATGCTTGTAGAGCAAACACCCAAAGCAAGTCCAGCAGGAAGCGGAAAGCACCTCTGCTTAAGAAAGCCTCGAATTCCAACATGGCCTCCTTCTCTCTGCAGACCAACTGTGGGTATGCCATCCATGCAGGAATAGGCCACCCCAAGGAAACTGCACCCCTTCCAGGAAGCGTGAGCCACTTACTCAGCTGCCCAAGCAGGTTGAGGAAGACGAAGCAGGAGGCCAGCAGGTAGCCACAGTTCCAGGTAGTGTTGATGTAGTCACGCTGCTCGCCCCACTGGAACCACATGCGGACGCCATCCTCCAGGAAGGTGCTGATCAGGCAGAGGCGTGCCACATGTGGCAGGTACTGCTTCGTGACGCGGAGGAACTGCAGGCCAGACACAGGTGAGGGGCTGCGTGGCAGCGAGAGCATGGGTGGGGTGGGCAGAAGGACCCAGGATGGTAGAGGCAGGAAGCATGGAGGACAGATGTTCTCAAGTCCCAGCCCCCACCTGCAGCCTCAGGGGTCATAACACCTGCCTCCACAAACACTATACTCAGGACACTGGGCCATCGCAGGCACCAGCCTGGGGATATGTGACTCACCAGGCCCATCTGCTCAGACACGGTAGGCACCAGCTTGCACCCTCCTCTATGACCCCTCCCCTCAGCTGGCACTTTACTAGCCACCGGGCTTTTAAGCATGGAATTACTGTAAGCCACCCAGCTGCCGTCAGGACACATTGAAAGGACCACAGGGATAGCCTTATCCAGGCTCCTTGGTTTTGACGCTGGCAGCATCTGGGCTGGAAAACCCCACCAGATTAGCAGTGTCCCTGGCTTCTACCCACCCGATGCCAGCAGCACCCGTTATGAAATTGCCCCACAGTATTAAAAATGTCTCCTGGGGCCAAACAGCCCCTGGCTGAGAACTACTGAGTTAGCCCAGCCCCATTTCACAAGTAGGCAGACTGAGGAGCAGCAGGAGAAACAGTTCCCCAAGGCTGCCCTGAGCAGACAGGGTGACAGGAAATGGTCCCAGCCCTAGCACCCAGTTGATGCTTAGCACCCCACACACAGAAGAAAGCAGAGGACACACCTGTAAGCCAAAAGCCCACCTAGGGGACATGCGGTCCCAGGCCAAGAGGGCTAGATGGCCGGCCAAGTAAGACATGTATATATTCACAGCCCCCAGATTCTCCAGCAAGGTGAGGCCACCAGGCTCAGAAGGGCATTCAGGCAGGGACTAGAGCTAGTGTCTCCTGCCCCAGCCAAGCTCCCCACTGGCAGCTTCAAACCTGGCTGGGTAACCAAGTGATGTGCTGTAGTTACAGGCAAGACTCTGAAATGCTAGGCATGTCATGTCACACAGCTGGGAAATGCTGGGGTTTTTGTAAAGCCAGTGGGGCCCTAACCAAATTAAGAACACAAATAGGATGGCTTCAACAACAGTGAGACATGAGTGTGTGCCACTGTCACCGGAGATGTCAGAGGAAAACACATCCACAGCTTCTAGTTCTGAGCAGGTGATGCCAGTCATAATATCAACTAGGAAACAAAGGGGCCAGGTGCAAACACCACCCAAGTGCACCACAAGTACTCTCCCAGCTGCCTAAGGCTATGACCCAAAGGGAAAGAAGTCCTGTGTGATAACCCTATAGCTGGCAGGTGCTTGGGAGAAAGATTGGGGACCTGCCCAAGTAACATGCCAGGAGGCCAGAGTCTGAAGGGCAGACTCAAGTCTGACCCCTCATGGGCAGTCAAATTAATGTCCCTTCTGGAAGTGGTCCAATCTCCTGCTGGAGTAAATGGAGACATACAGATGCACATTTCTTCAACTATGACATTCTGAAAAGTTGCTTCAAAGTCTTAGGAGCTGCTGATGTGGTTGACTCAGTTACAGGTTGTAAGACCCATGTCCATCCAGTTCATCAATGGAGATGGCACTTGGTCTGCACAGAAAAGCCCCCTGGTCAGGGCCACAGTGGGGCAGCTCCCCATCGTAGCAGGGGAGCTAATGGAGCCAGCTGTCCATTTTCCACAAATACACTGAGCTTGACCCCCAGGTGTTGATTCTGTACACATCTGCTCAGCCTTTCCTCCTCCACTTACAATGGCAGCACTCAGTGATGTGCACAGACAAGTAGACAATCAATGAAATCTGTGCCTGCACCCTGACATGACACCGACCAGCCGCGTGCTTTGTGTCCAGGGACAAGCTGAATTACTTTGGGGGAGAGGCGGGGGTGGTGTCTGTTACTCTTGGACAAAGTGAGGATCTGGGTTAATGGCTGCTAAGATTCTCTCCAACTTCAAAATCAAAAACCAAACCAAACCCAGTGTTGTGAAGTCGATTCCAACTCATCGTGACCCTCTAGAACAGAGCAGAGTTGCTCCATAAGGTTTCCAAGGATGTCAAGCTTTACAGAAGCAGACTGCCACATCTTTTTCCCATGGAGGAGCTGGTGGGTTCAAACTGCCACCTTTTGGTTAATAGCCAAACGTTTAATCAGTATGCCACCAGGACTCCTCTTTCCAATTCTATTAATCTACAAATCTATATGCAGGGATGGAGAAAAACCTTGTTTTTAAAAATAAATCAATAAAAGACATCCCAAACGCTCCCATGAGAGTTCTGTTGTCCATGTAGAAACAAGGGTCAGCATGGATGCTATAGCATCACCACTTGCTCCAGATAAGGAGGTGCTGGGACAGCAGTACCATGCTTCCTCTCGCCCCTGCCTTGTGGCCCTGTGCAGTGGAAGAGAGCTAGTCCAGCTCCAACATCACCACCTTCAAAGAAGGCCCAGCGCAAGAAGCCTTGGCAGTGACACAGGCCTTCCTTCCACTCGACATCAACACTGGGGCTGGGTAGCCCTCTCAGTGAGGCTGAAGAAGGAGCACCAAGAATAGATGTGAAGAGGTAGTCTGTCACTCATGGTCTCTGAAGACAGAGACCCCATGGAGTGTCTGACTCCTCAAACAAGAGTCGAGATGCCACTGACCCATCCATGTGGAAGCCTGACGGGATGTGCAGACGTGCCTGCCTGGGCTCAGAGGAACTGCGGACACTCTAATCTGCAGCCCAGCCTGAGACAGGCGGCTGTATTTCAAGCCCCCTGATGACTTTGCTACTCTTAATTGGAGTGTCTGGGTCAAGAGGATTAGGGGCCCAAGAACAGCGGAAGGAGACAGCCCTGCGGGAGACAGACCAGCCCTCTGCTTTGAGAAAAGTGTTCACTATAGGTAGCTGGGCTCAAATGGTGGTCCCGGTGGCTCCAGCATGCAAAGATGGTATAAGGTGGCCATTTTTTTTCCCCACAATACAGTACTGTACATGAAAAAGGTTTCATCTTTGTTGTCTGTACCACCCATGTACCTCTCTATGGTTTCCTCTTCCTCAATGCCACTGTGTTGATCACTCACTCTGATACACTGCCCTTCCCTTCACTCAAATCAGTACTTGTCTCTACCTATCTAGCAGTGCTCCCTCCCCTCCTATGCCATCCATGGTAAACAACAAAGGAAGTTTCCTTCCATATATAAAGCTTTTCTTGACTTTGTACAATAGTGAACTAATACAATATTTGTATTGTTCTGTGATTGACTTAATTTCACTCAGCATAATGTCTTCCAAGTTCATCCATGTCATGCAGTGTTTTGCAGATTCTACATTATTCTTTACTGTTGCATAGTATTCCATTGTGTGTACCATAGTTTGGTTATCCATTCTTCTGTTGATGGGCACTTAGGTTGTTTCCATCTCTTTGCTATTGTAAACAGTGCTGCAATGAACATGGATATGTATGTATCTGTTCGTGTCCTACCTCTCACTTCTTTAGGATATATACCTAGTAATAGGATTGCTGGATCAAATGATATTTCTAATTCTGACCTTTTAAGGAATCACCATACTGATTTCTACAGTGGTTGTATCATTTTACATTCCCACCAGCAGTATATGAACGTCCCAATCTCTCCACATCTTCACCAGCATTTGCTATTTTCTGACTTGTTGAACTTTGCTATTAATGCTGTGGGGAGATGGTACCTCACTGTTGTTTTGATTTTCATTTCTCTAATGGCTAATGTAGCGTAGTGCCTGAGGCACCTGACTGCTAACCAGAAGGCTGGCGGTTCAAACCCACCAGTCACTCTTCGGAAGGAAGATGGGGCAATCTACTTCCATAGTGATACTGCCTCAGAAACCCAAGGAGGGGTCACTATGAGTAGGGTCCAACTCAACAGCACATAACAACACAACAACAGCTCAACTAATGATCATGAGCATTTCTTCATGTGTTTGTTGGGGAAGGTGGCCATTTTTTAAAGCAGGCCCACCCAGAGGCTCTCCAACAAGCTGCCCTCTGATGAACGTCTGTTTGGATGGAAGACAAAAAAAAAATTCATAGTAACATCAGGCCAGACCCAATTTTAATCTTATTCCCTGGATGCCTCTGGGTCATAACTTTTCACACTTATTTACTTAACCACTATCATGCCGCTTTAACAAAAGGCCGAGAGCATGCTGCCCTCAGCACAACCAAGAGCCCAGACTTACCACCAAACCAGACACATCCCAGACACAAAGACAGTACAGGCTATCACGTCACTGCCAGTGGCCATCACACAGGCAAGGAGGCCTTGCGAACCAGATGCAAACCCAGTGTGCTACCCACTGAAAGCCCTGTTGGGAAAGCAAGGCAGATGCTGACCAGGGGGAGCTTGGCAATCAAGGAGGCCCACCATTCATTAGCCTCTGCAGCAGGCTTTTCCTTCAGATCCCAGAGAGCCCCTCAGCCTAGTGTGACAGGATCCCCAAGTGTGATGGCACCCCAGGGAAACATGGAAAACTGGGATTATTTAAAGGGGACTGTGATGTTAAGGGGCCACAGGGCACTTAGAGACATAAATAATCTCAACCAGAGACAGAGCTATGGAAGGACACAGTCATCACTGTCACACTGCCATCTTCAGCTCCCAAACACCACATAAAACCTGTTTCTTCTCGGTATTTAGAAAAAGAAACGGAGGAAGGCAACCGTCTGCAATTCCCAGTTAAATGAGAATGATGAGGAAGAGAAAGTCAGCCTTCCTTGACCTCTGTGACCAGGGCTGCCCTTCTCCAGGGCCACCTGAGGCCAACAGACACATCCTATGGCTGTTATTGACCTCACAGCTGAGTCAGGCCTGGCACACCTGCCAGTGACTCACATGCTTGCTTCCACCCCACCTCTGAACAGCCCACCCCACAAAGGGCTGCTTAGGGGTTCAGGCCATCCCACAAGACACAGGAAAGGGGTCATTGGACCAGAAGCCAGAGTGACGACCTGGCTCTCTTTCCAAAAGATCAATGCCATGACAAAATGCCCAGCCGTAGGGAGCAGCTACTGCAGCCGCAAAGGCAAGCACACTGCTGTAGCTCATCTTGTGAGAGAAGCCACGCTCACCACAGCCCCCTCACAAGAGCTGGGGTTTCTTTCCTTTACCCTCTTGTTGCCAAATCAGCAAGTGAAGAGGTGAGTCACCTACTCTTTGCCCTCTCTCTCTCTATGCCTTTGCATGCAGGGCAGGAGGCCCTTGGGAGGGGGACCAGGAGCTCAAAACAAGAGAATACTACTCAGGAAGCATGCCATTGTCACAACTCCCACCCACCCTCAACTGCCATCCAGGCAGTGAGGACCAAGAGCTTCAGGGCCACAGACCACAAGTACACCAGGCAGGTTATCTCTATCAGGCTGTCCTAGCTATGCTGGACAAAGGCCAAGATGGGGTTCTTGCCATGCTGATGGATAGGTAGAAATACCAAAGGCCACGTTGGCAAGGAAGACAGGTGTCCTTCTGTTACCCTGGCAATGAGCCACCAGGCAGAACCCATGAAGTGCTGATCCTCCTGTGTAATGGTGTGAATGTACTCAGTAGCTACACTTTGCAGACTGTCTACTGGGCAATGAGTGGCAGTTGCAAACCACAGATGTCCCCTTGGATGGCTGAGTTCACTGAGGCCCCAGCCCCTCGCAACCAGGCCTCATTGACTCCCCAACACCTTTGCTCACAGAGCACAACTCAGCAGTTTCTCCAGAGCCTGGCTTCCTGGGAGCAAAGGGACACTGCCCTGATAGCCAAAGGCAAGGAGCTCAATGCCAGGGGTAGAGACAAGCGATGCACAGCTGGGAAAAGTCAAATAGCTGGAACTGGCCAACCTTCTGGCTTCACTGGACTAACCCCTGGAGACCTAAGGAGGACACTAAAGGACCAGGTCAGGAGAAGGCCTGGTTCTGGGAACTGCCCCACCATGCAAGCACAAGACCCCGGCAGACCCCACTCTCTTCATCTGAAAACAGAGACCCTGTGGCCAACCTCATATGGCCAAGAGGGTTACGCAAGGTAATGTGTATGAGGACCTGGACCAGTGCCTGGCACGTAGGGAGTGGTTCCACGTCACCATCATAGTTAGCGGAGACAGGCACTTGGGCTTGGGAGACAACGCTTCCATAGGTGTCCTCTCAGCAGCCAAGACTTAGGGTCAAATCTCATCCCAGTGTCTTTGCTTTTGTTTTCTGAAGGCAAGGCTGTAGAGATAAACTCCTCACGTGATTTGACAGGTGACTTGGATGGATTTCCCATCCTCCTGGGACTTGACCATTTTCAGTTGACAAGTCTGGTCTCTTTGCATTCTTTATCACTTGCAGCTGCTAAGAATCACTTCTTCCTGCACCCACCCTGCCTCTGATGGGAGAAGCTCAGACCGATGGGGCATAAGTGCTCACCTGAAACCCAGCGCCACGACCAAGGTCCAACAGCAGGTAGTGCACCCACCCACCCAGCCTCTGTCTCCTTGTTCCCTTTACAATGGCAGTGCTCTGTCCAGATCTGTATCAGAAAGAGGCACCACCAGACCTGAAGAGCATATCAGAGATGCCACTAGCCTAGAAGTAGAGGACCAGGACCATCTTCCCGAGCTGAGGCCAAGACAAGCCCAGAACTTCTGTGGGCCTCACCTTCCCCTCCAAAATCTGGTGGGGAGCACCATGTGCCCCTCTCATGGGCCTTGCTGGCTCACTAGTCTTCTTTGATTTGAAACAAAACACAATGAAAAACAAAAAAGGATGACATAAAGAGATTCTGAACTCTCTCAGTAGGAAAGTCTACCATTCAGTGGTTGGCAGCCACTTGACAAGAGATGTTTTATCTAGATTGGATCATGAAATTCACTTGCAAAACCAGGGTTTTCCGGCTGAAGAGCAAGTGCACGCTAGCAGAAGTCATCTGCTTAGAGAGTTGCTCCTTGAGGAAATAAAATTGGGTCACAAAAGATCATGTCAACGAAAAGTGGCAAAAAAAAAAAGCCTACTTGGTGGAGACAGTACAATACAAATTGTTGCAAGGAACATAGTTTTATAATCTTCTTTATCACAAAATCATGACCTTTGGAAACACTACTTCTTCAAGTTGGTAGACCTTTCTTTCCTACACAGGAAAATGGTGGACAAGAACCCAAAGCACAATCACCAATCACCATCAGAAAAAATGCTCATTTTCATTTTTTAAAAATCACAGAAACACACACCAGCCTTCCTCTGAGTCTAGACCTGAGTGTAATGACCCAACATCACCCCTCAAAAATTAAAACTCTGTAACTATCACTGCTCTTGATTCTGGCAAAGCAACAAAGCCATCGAGTGAACAGAGGCAAGAATGGCAACTGGCTAGACAAGGACCTACCTGCAAAGATGACACAGTACACACTCAGGACCCTTTCAGAAATAAGACACACACAACTAAAAACAAAATTGCCACAAAAAGGGAGTGGATTCTCTGCCCTGCACCTTCCTGGGGTCTGATCCTGTCCACCTGGTTCCTGACAGCATTTAACTATTAGTCACCCGTTCAAGGGTTTCCCTGTTGCTCAGAATGCCACCTGTACACTCTGGAAAGAAAAAAACACATCAGGAAGACAGGCCTCCCCTCCTCCCAGGTTTGTATGCCACATCCATTCGATGTGGCTCCAGGGCAGAGTCCAAACCAGCAGGGAAGATGCAGGGAGGGCCAAAGGGACCCCAGAAGCCAGATACATATGAGAAAGAGAAAAGGAGAGAAGCAAAGCTGCTCTCCAAACCTGGGGTCCACACCAGAGCACCCCAGCTCCAATGTGACCAACCACATTCAGAATGGGAGCTCCCTGCCCGCCTCCTAAGAGTACCCTGTAAAGAGAAACCATGCAGAGTCCACCCAACTGTTCACGTAAAGGATACTTCTCAAGACCCAAGGACTTGCCCTTACACCCATGCCCACCACAGCATGACCCCAAACTTCTGCACTCCTGCGCCTTGTTAGAGACCAAGTAAGAAACCACTCCCCCAACTCCGGTCTTCTAAGGATATTCCAGCCCGGGCTGAAAGGGTGGGGAGCGGGGAATCATGAAATCTGGGTGCCTAAGCCGGGGGTCCGGGGACACACCCTGACCCTAGTCCTCTGAGGAGGCAAAGAGGAGCGAAAGCTAGAACACAGGAGAGCTTGGACCAAGGGCCGGATTGGGGCGTCCAAGGCCCGGATGAGAGCTGCTAAGCCCTCCCTGGGGGAGGGGAGGCCACGATCGCCCCAGTGGGATCGGGATGGGGTGAAGGGGCAGCCCCAGCCTGGGGTGAGGAGCGCTTGTGGGGGGCGGAAAAGGGATACAGGCGGGATCCCCGGGCCTAGCTGGCCTAGGCAGGGGGCCTGGAGCAGCCTCAGGTAGGAGAGAGGCGGGGGGCGGGGAGCCGAGGGCTGGCCGTACTGGGGCGGGGGCCCGGGAAGGGGCGGCGGGCAGTTGAGCCGGGCCGGGCCGGCGTAGGCCGCACCTGGTCGGCGAAGTCCTCGGCCGTGCCCATCAGGTCGTTCTGGCCCATAGCGGCGGCGGGGGCTCAGAAGCTGGCTCGCTCGCTCGCTCGGCGCTCGGCCTGCTCGGCACCCGCGCCCGTGCGGCCTCCACAGGAAGTGCCCAGCCGGCCTCGCTGCTCGTCCTCGGCGGCGGCTCCAGCAGTTGCCACGTAGGCCAAGCCTTAAAGGGGCCGCGCGCCGCCGCCGGCCCGCCCCGCCTCCCCGCCCTTAAAGGGGCAGCGCGCCGCCGCCAGCCCGCCCAGCCTGCCCGCCCTTAAAAGGGCCGTGCGCCGCCTGTAGCACTCCCACCTCACGCTCCGGACTCGGCGGCCAGCGGCGTTCTCCCCATCCGACGACTGAAGATCGGCCCAAGGTGCCCGGGACGCAGGGCTCTGAGAGCGCCGGAGGGACCCAGTTCGGGCAGTGTGGGTCCCTGGAGACAGACACATACCCCTACCCCGACTATGGGTCGCCAGGGCCTATAGCCCCCACCCCGGGGTGGGGAGTGAGATGCTCGTTTGGGCGGTCCTACTGCGCACACTCAGTCGAGGGTCCAACCGTCGGCGCCAGCTCGTGGCGTAGACCCCAAGCGTCCGGCCGAGGGAGTGAGGCCAGGAGTCCCTCCTCTAGAGGCTATGGAAAAGTATCAGGTGCCGAGCTGCGCGCGTATGGAGGACAGGAGCAACATTGGGTGACGGTCTGGGGCGAGCCCGGGACCAGGACTTCCTGCCGCACTTCCACCACTCCTGGGGTAACGATCATAGCCCTGGAGAGGCGGCTGGCGGCGAGGTCCGACTGTCGGAGGGAAGGGACTCAGGCCCTGGGCAGTGCCGCCTCCAACTCGCAGGATGACCTTGGGGACCTCTTGATGACCTTTACCTCAGTTTCCCCCTCTCTAATATGACAGATGAAATCATCTTTCAGAAGGACGGGATGTTTTAGAGAGGAGGACAGTTCCCCCTATACTTCTTGCCTAGTGGCCTTAAAGTGCTGGGGCCATGGGGACAGAAGGGGACCCTAGGACGTTGAGTTCATAATAAAGAGACCCCCAACACACCCCTTCAACCTGCGTAGTCCCAGCAGGGGCTTTGGAAATGAAAATGTCTACGATCTGGGAAGTTGGTTTACTGGCTCCAAAACAGGAAACTGCTAAATAACAATGAGTGTTAGTTCAGTGTCTTCATGTGCAGTAGGTAGACATTATGAAACATCAAGCACAGTATCTGAAAAATGACATTAGGTTGGAGACAATGTGTCCAGATTCTCACCTAGTGGGTATCCACAGTGTGTGGAGAACCACTGAGAAGTCAGCCAGGTGTCCTCTGAGTGTCCAGGGGCCAGATCATTTTGAAAGCAAAGTTATATTTCAGGAAGAAGTGTAGACTTGATCTGAGAGATGGGTGCCTTTCATCCATGATTCGCAGTGAGCGGGGTCTATGCCCAGGTAATCCTTACATCACCTGACCTTGGACCCCCTTAGCTAGCCACTGTCCAGTCATTCCCTAAGTGAGACAGTTGGCTCACAAGGAGCTGGGTTACAGAACCCTAAGACTCCCTCAGAGGCCCTACACTCAGTTTCCACTGCCCACACCCCCTTTCCTGCTTTCCCCACCTTATCCTCTGATAAATACCAGAGTCTCAGAGCAACCAGTAACACCAGTGTTCACCCCACTCCCACGGCCTGCCTCCTGCAGGTGTGGTTGATGGGAATCTCTCTGCAGTTTCTTTGCAAAAGACAGGCTCAAGTTAAAGCCACAGTGTCATCCAGGTGATCTTCTTTATTAGGCTCTATATCCTCAGGCAAGGGCTTGGCTCCCTGTTCCTCAGTAGTGCTGACCCCATAGGGTGGTGGGTATAAAGAGTGAGGCATGGTGCTGGACACATGGATGGCTGTGACTAGGACAGTGCTCGTTATGGTGCCAGTTACTTGAGTGTGGATGCCCAGGTTGGAGGTGGATGCTGGAGGTTGTGCTGGCTCCTGGAAGCCTGGATGGTCCTCCCTGCAGGTTGGGAAGGGATTTAGAGTGGAGAAAAGAGCTCCAGAATTGCCCAAAGTGATGGGCTGCATTCTCTTGTCTGCAAAGTGGGGAGGAGACCCTTGCTCTCCCCACTTGTCAGGAGATGTGACAGGAATCAGAAAAACCGTGACACTGCACACACCTGGGAGAGCAAAACGCTGCATCCGTTTCCTGAAAGCCTCCCTCTCCCTTTCTGGTAGATTCTGTACAAGCTGGAGCCTGGTGCCTTGGGGATGAACATGGTGGTGGAAGAAATGGCCACCAGAGGAAAGCGTGTGATAAAAAAAGTGAGTGTGAAGTTGGGGCACCCACTTGGGCTCCTATGGTTGTGAATGGTCCAAAATGTGTGCCTAACAGATTCCCCATCCCTAGTAGCAATCAAGGGGACAGTCAGCTGGGGTAGAGTGAGGTGAACTGAGGCTCCAGGCTTCCCAGCTGCTTGCAGTTTCCTTGAATGCTCATCGTTCTGCAACAGTACCAACACCCACCATTTATTCAGCACTTGCTTCATGCTGCACCATCTCGTTCAACCTCCTGTCAACCCTGCAGAGATGGAACAGTGCCCCACTCTACAGCTAAGGACAGTGAGGCTCAGGGGAGCTTCAGACTAGCCAAGGTCATACAATCTCCAAGAGCGTGTAAACTCAAGCCACCTCCCTGAGGGACCATCAGTGCAGGGCCATCAGTTGGACCAAAGGGTGGTGCAAGCAAGGATTTGCCAAAATCACATGGGATATTGGGCCTTATGCCCTTCCCCAACACTCCTCACTGGCGCTGGCCAGGCAGGATCAGGGGCATAGACCTCAGGGTGGACCCCTTTGTGTGTCCAAGACAACAACAACAAAAAAGAAACTCACTGCTATTGAGTCAGATCCAACTCAGTGACCCCACCTTGGGTTTCTGAGGCAGTATCACGATGGAAGTAGATTGCCCAGTCTTCTGAGGAGTGGCTGGTGGGTTTGAACCGCCAGCCTTTTGCTTAGCAGTCAGATGCAACTCAGCAGCCTTGTCCCCAAGGTGGCCAGGCCCAGAGTCCTTACCCACCTTCTGTTCATGGTGATGATGATGATGGTGATGAGGTGATATTTATGGTGAAGATAATGAAAGCCATGATGGTGATGATAATGATGGTGGTGATCATGATGGTGACGGTGGTGGTGGTGGTGGTGGTGGTGGTGGTGGTGGTGGTGGTGATGGTGATGACAATGATGACTCAGTTCACTCACTGACCTGGTACTCCTGTGCCCCTGCAGGTGGGGTGCATGGATGAGCATCATGCAAACGAGGCCCTGGAGGAGGTAACTCTCAGTAGTTCCTCTCTAGAGAAAGCAGACTTCAGAACACTTAGAGATTGTCTTCTGTCACTTCTTGTAGAGTGTGGGCAGAGGGATGCCCCGATGGGGGATGGAGGATCATGAGAGTTCTTGCCCCATGCTTGTGAAGCCAACAGCCCCCAGATGACAAAGGAAGTAGATGCCCAAAACATTTTATTTCTAAATCTAGGTATTGAGAGGATAATACATGTTTCCAGAGAAGACAAAGTTTAAAAGTTGGCCAGGTCTGCAGGCTAACCTACCAGTAATCATTTAAAAAATTTTCCCCTAATTATAGAAGTATTAGTTACAGTAGAAAATATAAGATTGCTTAACAAAGAAAATTTAGATTACCCTTAATTCTCCCACCAAGAAATGACTAGCAAGAACAGCTGCATGCATTATAACGTGATAGACAAAAATGACTCTGGGTGGTTTTCTCCTCATGTCTGTTGAATTTCACATGAAATTAAATGTACCCCTTATAGCTAATGGTCATTAGTTTCTTATCTTCTTTCTGGAATTGTCAGCTCGTGAGTTTTGCGAACAGCATCTCTTAAGCCCACAGTGTGACTGGGGCACAGTGGCAAGCCTCCCTAGGCAGCATTCTGTCAAAGGGGAAGAGGAACCCTCATGGACACCTGTAGTCCCCCTGCCCAGCATAACTCTTACTCTTCCTTGCTCCTTCCTAGAGCCTGCTGGGTAACCTCATCCACCCCTATCTGCTACCATCAGTGTTGTCCTTTGACTCTCAGTCTCTAACATCTTAAGTAGCTATTCCTGCTGTCCAGTTGCTTTCATTTTCAAAGCACTTGCAGCTCTGTGGCATTCTGAGCTCTGTCTGCATGACCCTGGAGGCCAGGTGGCCAGTGAATAGACCAGTTGTCCCTCTTCCCATCGGCTGCATCCCCTTCCCTGCCCACCCTGAATGTGCTGTACCTCCTTCCTATGAACTTGCCATTTTATCTGCATCAGCTCCCTTATTCCCTGGGGGGCAGACACCACTGCATCAGAGAGGATGAGCTTTTGCCCTCAGTCACACAACACAACCTGCTGGAGGCAGAGCTCACCCTGGCCATCTGGCACCTCACCACAAGGCTACACAGCCTCCCTGTGTCTACTCCTTCCCCTGTTCAGAGCCAGACACTGGCATGTTTGTTGGCACATGTGACAGAAAACCTCTATCTGGGTGTTGCTGGAACTTCTTTGCTTGCTCTTGTCCCTGCAGCTGATGCCACTGCTGAAGCTCCAGCATGCCCACATCTCTATCTACCAGGAGATGTTCATCACATGGGACAGCCAGGTGGGTTGGGGGGCTCCTCCAAGCTTGGCTCTGTGCTGTGGGCTGCAGGGCCAAGCCAACTGAGCCCCGAGCATGTCCCCTTCACCTCATTGAAATACTATGGAGTGGCCATGGTAGTGACACCAAACAAGGCTGCCCCTGACTCTACTTCCTGGAGCCAGGCAGCACACCAGGACTCTCTGGGCATAATCTCATGTGAGCCGCTAGAGCTTCAATAGTTACTGTTCCCATTTTACAGAAGGAGAAACAGGCTGAGAGCAATGAAATTAGTTCCTCCAGGTTACTCAGCTAGGATGTGGTAAGGGAGAAGGCAGGGCCAAGTGTGCCTGACCCCAGTGCCCTGTGCACGCTACCACAAGCTGTCCTGTAGGCCGGTGATTAGAGGCCTATGCCTCTGATGGTGGAGCTGGAGGAGCAGGCATGAGGAACCAGCTTCCCTGTTTGCCATTGCCATTGCCACCAGGTTCTGTGCCTCCTGCACAGTGTACAACAAGCATCATGTCCCCCGTGAGGCCCTAGGGGCTCCAAGGGCAGGAGTCACTCAGAGAGGTTAAGGAGGTCTCCCACAGTCACACAGTGACACAGCTACACAGGGATCCACACCCAAACCTTCTAGCTGAGCCTGCACTGCCTACCTCAGGCTGTGCCACCTTTCATCTTTACAAAGAGCCAGAAACTTTCCAGTCCCTCCAGATGGGAACTGAGGTGCAAGAAAGAATAGTTGAGCCTGGGGCTGATAGAGGGAAAGATGCTACTGTCCCCATTCAGGCTGGTAGCTAAGGTGCTGAGCAGGAGGAAGGTCCTTCACAGCCAGACACCTCCCCTTTCACCCAATCCATTACCATTCAATTCCTACTCATAGCAACCCTGTAGGGCAGAGTAGAACTGCCTCATAAGGTTTCCAAGGCTGTAAATCTTTATGGAAGCAGACTGCCTCATCTTCCTCCCACAGAGCAGCTGGTGAGTTTGAACGAATGACCTTTTGGTTAATAGCCAAGTGCTTAATCACTGCACCACAACAGCTCCCTCCCTTTCCACTGGACCTTGGAAAACCTTGGAGGGCCCCTCCCCCCGTCATGCACCCCCTGGTACTCTCAGGGACACTTGACTGCTGAGGGAATACAGGCTCTTCAGGAGCCCAGAGTTGGAGCCCCTTACCCAGTCTGTCTGGCTGGGTTCCAGGAAAGGTCCTCAGATAAAACGAGACCCAAGATAGCCTTGAAGGATGAGTACAATTATCCTCACTAAGAGGGTGAGGGAGGGGCCCGGTGCACATGGGCGGGTGGGAGGCAGCCCAGCCTTTGAAGAAGTCCAAGTAGCTTGATGGGTATGGAGCTTGGAGTGGTGTGTCTGAGCTTGGGAGAGCTCTCTAGGGCAGATGAAGCACAGAGGCCTGAGCTTCTTTCCACTAGAACTGCACATCTCCCAAGAGCCTCCCCTCCATGTCCCCTGTAGAACTACTGCATCTTCCTCTGTCTGGTGATGGAGTACCACAAGGAAACCTTCCAGAAGATCATTGAGAAGAAGAGGAAGGCGAGGAAGACCTTTGACTCTGAGGTAAGACAGCCCTCTAGGGACACCAGGCCCTGGCAACCACCTGGGCCTTGTTATGTTTTGGGTGCACAGCTGTGGGCAGAGGAGCTTGGGGAAGGCAGGTGCTGCTGGAGTCTGGCTGGACTGTTTTCTTAAATGTATGTATTGATTAATATGCACTATAGCATGCACACACTCCAGTGTGCAGCTTGATGCCTTCTCTCATGTGCTTGTAGCCAGTTCCTTCACTCAGATCAAGATGAAATCAGAACTCCAGAAAGTTCTAGTCAGTACTCTTCCCCGACCCCTGAGTAACCGTGGTTAGATGTCTGTCTGTAGAGATTTGTTCTGGCTGTTTTTGAACTTCATGTAAATGAAATCATACAGCATGTTGTCTTTTGTGTCTGGCATCTTTTTCAACCTCATACTTTCTCACTGATTTATACAAATTCTTTATATATTCTGGACATAAGCATGCAGAGCATCTTCTTCTAACCCGAGTCACTTTATTAATGGTGTCTTCTGATAAATAGAAGTGCCTCGTTTTAATGCTCTGAAGCTCCAGTGTGGCCTCCAGTGTTCCTAGGCACATGGTTTGTTTGAAAATCACTGCCCTGGTACTAGATGGATCTTATTTCTGACACAAAATTCTTCCAGAATATTCTCTTTCGGGGCTCTTTTCATTCTAATGACATTATGAGGCAAGCCCCAAGTAGGCACTGAAGGTGTCAACATTTCTGATACCCACAAGGCCAGTTGGCCCCAAGTTCTAGCAGGTACTCGGCAGTGAGAACCACAGAGTGGTCGAGGTAGGGGTCCCTAGGAACCCCAGTATGAGACAAAAGTGTGGGGTCTGGAAACCAGGGAGCTTCCCTCTGTCTGGAGAGCCACTCCAGTCTGTGGGAATCTGAGGTCCTCTGGGGAGGCTGGGACCTCTTGCCCCATGTCCTGAGCTCTGGAGAAGCTTCAGGCCTCTCCCCTCACTGCTCTGAGAGGTGCCACCTAATGGCAGCAGCAGGGAGCTGTGCTTTGGGAACTTTATTGGATGCCATCTTGTGACAGAGTAGAACTGCCCCAGAGGGTTTCCTAGGCTGTCATCTTTAGGAGCAGATCACTAGGTCTTTCTCCAAAAGAGCTGCTGAGTGGGTTCAAACCACTGACCTACTGGTTAGCAGCCAAGTGCTTAATTATTACTCCACCAGGGCCCTTAGCCCCTTCCATTCCTGGTACCTGTTTCCTCCCCAGTGGTTGCAGAATATGCTGGGCCAAATACTAGATGCACTGGAATACCTGCATCGGTTGGACATCCTGCACAGGTGACCAGGGCCCCCATCTCCTGGGACTGGACAGGCTGCTGTAGGAGAAGAAGCACTGTATCCCCTCAGGGTGTCAGTACCATGGCAGGAGCTAGGGAGAGAAGCACTGGGCCAGCATGACCTTCACAGCACCTCCTCCTCGGAACGACCACAGCTGAGGCCTCTCACCACACACAGCTACGTGGTGTGTGATCTTACTTGGTGGGTTTTTCTAAAGGAAAGAAACCAGACAGCAGCACTGCAAGGGGGAGATAAGGCTGCCACTGTGGCCTCAGGACAGCCAGCATGGGGGCAGCACCCCTCTTGGAGCTGCCTCCATCCACCAGCAGTAGATTGGAGGCTCCAGAAGCCATGGTCAGCAGGGGATGGGAGCAAGAGGCCTAGGAAGGTGGCTTCAGATTTGAACGTGAGTATCGTAGCTAAAGGAGGAAGACCATGGGAACCATATGGACAAAGGACAAATAATTCAATGTTGATGTCAATGGACATTTTAAAACATGCTCTTAACCAGCCCCCAAGCCAAATGCCTTATTTCTATTTATATTGTTGTTGTTATGTGCTGTCAAGTCATCTCCAACTCATAGCAACCCTTCCTTGGGTTTCTGAGGCGGTGTCACTATGGAAGTAGATTGCCCAACCTTCCTTCCGAGGAGTAGCTGGTGGGTTTGAACCACCAGCCTTCTGGTTAGCAGTCAAGTGCCTCAGGCACTATGCCACCAGAGCTCCTATTTCTATTTTTCTATTTATAGGAAAACATTATCTTAAAAGTGGGCTGAGAAAAGGACATTATATTGAGAAAAGAAGGGGGATAAGGTTGCTCCTGTAGTCCTGGGTGGGTGGAGGCAGCAAGTAAGGTCTATGGGCACACATGGGCCTGGCCACTCCCCAACCTGTGGTTATCCTGAGGCCTATCAGGGCCTCTACCCCACAGAGCAGACATCCAAGGCAGCCCCAGGAGTGGGGGAAAGGCACGCCCACAGGCACCCAGAGGAGGGTCCCCCATCTTGGTTTCAGGAACCTCAAACCCTCCAATATCATCCTGATCAGCAACAACCACTGCAAACTGCAGGATCTGAGCTCCAAAGCACTCATGACAGATGAAGCCAAATGGAATATCCGGGCAGAGGAAGGTGGGTGAGGGTCATCCAGTCAGGGGTCAGGGGGAGGGTATAGATAATGAGTAGATGGGGGAGGGGTGGTGGCCACTCTGGGGGCTGGGACAAGGCAGCACCAAACCTCTATCTACTCAATCTCTCTAGATCATCTGGGCTTGGCTGGACTCAAGAGACCCCTTGTCTGATTGTAACTGAGCAGGAGTGCCACCATGGGGGTGGGTGTAGTGTTCCAAAGATACCCAATGTCATAAGAGTCTGAGAAACAAAGCAATGGTTGTGATATCCCCCAAATGTTAACCTTTATGGAGGAAAAAGAAAGACTGCAGAAGACAGGAAATTAATCTGGGCTGACCCAAGGGCCCATTGGACACCAGGGTCTGGTTGCCTGTGGATTATCTTACTGGATCCTAAAATCCCTGGGAAAGGGAGGGCAAAGGGAGATGAGTCTTCTTCCGAAGACATTGAAAAGATGAAGGGCCAAGCAGGGCTGGCTTCAAGCCTGTAACAATTGTAAGGATGGGGAGAGCAAACAGTGGAGAATTACAGAGTCCTATGGTGGCAGTAGCTGGTGGCCCTCTGCCCTTGGTACACAGAAGATGGATAGATGGATGGGTGGTTGGGAAGATAAATGGATAGCTGGGTGAATAGGTGAATGGCTGGGTGGGTGGGGGATCTATTGGAGACATAGATGTCATGGTCCTTGGAGTCCATCACTTTGCTGTTTGGCTGGGGGATGGAGGTCTAGAGAGGAAGGAGCTACCTGAGCCTATCAGACTTATCTGGACTAGGGGCCCAGCTCTTTTGGCACTTTGGGGCTCAGGTTTAGAAACTAGGGCAGAGCAACTGGAACTTTGCCCCAGGGTCCTGACCCTTAGATGGAGTAAAGTATTTAAAGAGGGTACAAATTTTAGCCTTCTGGAGCATGCCTCTTCCACCGCCTTTTCTGTAGCAATGAGGGGCATATATACACAATACCAAGATGCACACAGACAAACATACATGCATACGCGCACAGACAAACATACATGCATACATGCACAGAACACAGACATGTATGCACACAAAGAACACAGAAATGCAGAGATATGCAGAAAAGCACGCACACTCGCACGTGCACACACACACACAGGCTAGCTGGTTGGCACCTGCCAAAATTGATAGCCTCAGTGGCTCAAGACCAAGAGCAAGGCTCCTGCTGACAGGGCTTTCTCCTCCTCCTCTATGGACAGCATGTCCCTACCTCCCCAAGAGGGTGACCTAAGGGCTCATTGTTAAGCTGCTTGCAAGGGGCACCAATGGGTTACCATTCCATGAGGGTGGCTTTGTCATGCCTCTGCTCTCCAGAGGGTGTAAAACTTACTGGACCCCTACCCTGCTCCTGCCAACAGACCCCTTCCAGAAGTCCTGGATGGCCCCTGAAGCCCTCAACTTCTCCTTCAGCCAAAAATCTGACATCTGGTCCCTGGGCTGCATCCTTCTTGACATGGCCAGCTGTTCCTTTGTAGAGGTGAGCTGCCCCCACCCCACCTAGACTGTAGCCTCTGGGAGTTGCCCTTCCCACCAAGGATGCCAGGGGGTGAGCTCCTCCCAGCCTGGGAGCAGGCTGCCTTGCCCTGCTTCCTGACTGCATCCTCCTTCCGCTTAGGGCACCTTGGTGTGCTCTCTTCCACCCCCAGTCAAGGATGGGCCACTCTCCTGGAATGCCCCAGCTCCTAGCACTTGGCACAGCTCTGCTGGACTCTAGCACATAGTAACTGAGACAGTGGTCACATGAAACCTGGCACTACCACAATGAAGCCCTTCACCACTCCTCTCCTTCTGAAAACCCAGGGAAGTGAGGGTCCTTCTATGACATACTGGAAAGACAGAATACTCTGGATCAGAGTGCCCTGGATCCCATCCCAGCCCTGATTGGATTGATTTTGTACACAGAGCTCCCCTCTCCCAAGCCTTGATGTCACTGTCTATGAAATGGGCTGGGGTCAGGATTAGGGAGCAGACTCTTGACACACACACACACACACACAAAGACAGCTGCTTGCCTCTCTTTCTGACCATCTCCCCTGCCCATGTGGTCCAGCTGCATGGGCCTGCAGCTGCCTGGCTCAGCTCCTGTGCCCTTGATGGTGCTCCGCTCCCAGCACAGCCATGAGCCCACGGTAAGTGCCTGCACAAAGCCCTGTCCTCTGTCTCTGTCAGCACACAGAAGCCATGCTTCTGCGGAAGTCTCTCCGAAAGCTTCCAAACAGCCTGCAGGACGTGCTGAGAAAGATCAAGGACAAGAAGGTTCCTGACGCAGACACACTGGTTTTCCTTCTGCCAATGATGCTCCAGGTCAAACCAGAGGAACGGATCACAGTGAGGTAGGCTTAGCGCCTCTGTCTGTCCCCCCAGCCTCTGCATGTGCACACACATGTGCATGAACACAGAAAACACATGCATGTGTGCATACACACACAAGGCCACTTTGTCCCTAATGGTCACAATGCTCACTCAACCTGGATGGTGGGCTCTTCCCATTTTGCCATCACACCTGTGCAGCCCAGGCCATTTTGAAGGCATCTCTTTGTGCCCTGCAAGCAGGGCCAATCTTGCACCAGCCACTGGAGATCAGGCCGAGAGCCTTCAACACCCTGAGGGTTCAGGAAATCATTTTCATTTTATTTTAAAATCAGAAAAGAATATATAGTGAGGAATGCAGCCTGGCCTTTATAGAACACAGTCGTAAAATACAGGCAGTCCATAAGTTACAAACAAGATCAGATCCTAAGTGTCTCTTTAAGTGGAATTTCTGGGTGAGTTGGACTAGATGCATATGGTTCTTACTTAGCCTTACTTTTTTAGCGCAAAAAAGGTGCTCTGGTGGTGCAGTGGTTTAAGCATTTGGCTGCTAACCAAAAGGTCAGCGGAACCCACCAGCAGCTCTGCAGGAAAAATGATGAGGCGATCTGCTTCTGTAAAGATATACAGTCTTGGAAACCCTATGGGGCAGTTCTACTCTGACCTACAGGGTCACTATGAGTCAGAATCAACTTGATGGTAGTGGGATTAGTGCAAGAAAAGGCTCAAAGCCTTTTGAATGATTACAAAGCTGCACATGTAGTAAGTGAAAGTGATTGTGATGAAGAATTTGTTGCAAGTAGAGGTTGGTTCAGTCCTTTCAAAGGTGAGGGCAAATTTATATAATATTAAAGGGCAAGTGCATCTGTATGCCTGTATGGTTTTGTGTGTTTGTGGGGAGCTGCTGGGGTGGGATAGCTGGGCCACCAGCTGCTGCACTTGCTCCATCCCAGGGATCGTAGAGGAAGGGGCTAGCGAGCCACCAAGCCTGAGGGCCAGCACGGTAAGCAGGAGGTGGACACCGACCTCACCTGTCTCTGCCCTCTACAGGGAGGTGATCCACTTTGCCTTTGTGATCAAGAGGTTCAAGTCTTCGAGCGTGGCACTGACGCTGCACAGGCAGGTGGTCCCTTCGCTCATCGCCGACATGCTATTAGGAGGCAACGTCGCAAGTATCTTAGGTGCTGGTGGGCATGAGGGGGAGGGGGAGGGCATGAAACTGCTTGGGCTTAGCAGTCACTGTCCTAGTTCCCTGGACTGTCCTATCCGAACAGCCATGCAAGGGTGGCTTCTGATTCCCTCACCCATCTCCAGGCTTTGCTCAGGGAGCTGCCTTATTCAAATACCTTCCATAGCACCCAGTTAGCTGTGCAAAGTTCATCTTCATAGCCTGGCCCCCACCTACTTTCCCTTTTTTCTGCTACACAAGTCCTCTGTGTAGCCACAAGGGCCCAGTCACCAGCCCCCCAACCTCCCAGCCTCGCAGGCCTACTTCCTTGCTTCCTCACCTTGTACACAGAGGCCCAGCTGTTGAGTGTCTTTCTCACATAGCAGGATGCTGCTTAGCAGGATGCTGCTGGATGTGGATGGGAGGGCAGGGAAGGGGGCTTGCAGCATGATGATACAGGTCTCACCAAGAGGCTGTGACTTGATGCAGTATTTACCCATCACACACATACCACAAGTACCTGGTGCCCAGCTCTACCATAAGTGAGCCCTGGCCAGGGGCCTCCTGGGGCTCGCAGCACACAGTAGCTATGCCCAAGGTCTTGAATAAATGATGAGTCTAGAATGCACCCTCAAGTTCAAGGTTAGCTCCATGTAACCCCCCCATCCCTCTGAGTTCCCAATGTGTTGTTCCCTTCTCTTTCTCCAAGGCTTCTCTCATGGACTTCCTGTAACAAGGGTCAGGTCAAGAGAGCTGTGGGGTGACTTCTACCAGCCCCCATCCCTCCTGCTTCCTCTGCCCAGATGTCTGGGGAGAGGGATGCCCACAAGGCCCTAGTGGAGGCCTATTGCATGGTCATACCTGAGGACTCGCCGAGGGCATTGAGCAGGTTTCTCTCTGAGCCTCAGCTTTTTCATATGCACCAATCCATCACTGCCCACTGTGATGACACAGTAAGATAGACCTTTTGTAGTGTTATGCCCAGAGTTGGTGGGAGATGCATTGGGGGAGTTTCTGAATCTACAGTGTGCAACTGCCAAGACCACAGATCACTGCTGGGTCTGGGTGGCAGTGGCAGCATTTGTTGTGAACCAAAGGCAGAGAACCCTGCAGGGAACCCTGAAAAGGAGCAGAGAGAGCCCAGGGCTGGAGGCATAGCTCTGGCCACATACCACATGCTCTCAGACCAGAGTTGGGTTCAATTTTGGACAAGTTGCTTGGCCTCTGTATACTCATCTGTGAAATGGGGATGACACAATTCAGTCTGCAACATTCCACCCTTTGGCCTCCCAAATTCATGCCTTTCCCACGTACAAAACACATTCACCCCCATCACATTATCCCAAAAATCTTAAATCAAGTCCAAGGTGAAAATCTCATCTTCTGAATCATCTAAATCAAATATGGATGAGAGTTCAGGTGTATTCCATCCTGGAACAAAATTCTTCATCTGTGAACCTGTGAAATCTAGACTACAAATTATGTTTCCAAAGTACAATGGTAGAACACTCACAAGGTAGACATTTCCACTACAAATGGGAGAAAACAGAGGGAAAGAAGGGATAACAGGCATCAAGCAATTCCAAAATCCATCACGACAATTTATGTTAGCTCTCCAGGCTTGAAAATAATCTTCTGTTCTCTTGAGACCATCTGGGTAATGCTTCTGTCCTTTAGACTTTAGGTGTTGGCCCTGCCCTCTGAATTCTGGGTAGAGGCCCTTGGTCCTAGGCTTCTGCCCCACCTTTCAGGCCCACTGGGATGGCAACTCTGCTCCCTTGGCTTTGGGCTGCCTTCCCCCTTCTCCTAGTCCATCTTAGTGGTGACCCCAGCCCTTTGGCTTCAGCCCCATTCTTCTGCCCCTTGAGCTGGCAACCTTACTCCTTCAGCTCTGGGTAGTGGCCCCATCTTTGGGCACACCTAAAGGGCAACCCCACACTGCAGAACTGAGTTGCTGAAGATCTGGCTCTTTGAAACCTAAGAGGGCATTGCTCCATCCTTTGAAATGGAGGCAGCCCTATTTCTTGTGCTCCTTTGAACAGTTCTGCTTATCCCTGAGCTACTCCTGGAATAGTCCTTTCCTTTTCTTGGAGGACAACAGATGTAGCTCCTTTGGCTGTCTCCTGTCTCCAGAATTCCAAGAGGCAGAGAGTGTTCTTTCCTTTTGTCCTTTCTCTGTACCCTTCAGTCAAAGCTGGTGGATTTTCTGCTATGGTAGTTGGTTAGATCCATCCATCACAGGCTTAATCTCTTTAACAAAAGATTATGTAACCATGCCCATGGTGAAAATTCTAGCACACATCTCCTTAGTTTGTAAAATAGCATTTTCCAGATTTTTCAGTTTTGTTTTCATTTCACTCAGTTCATTTTTAAGCCCATCTCTTTTCTCTCACATGTTACTATAACTGGCAAGGAGAAACCACATAGCCCCTTTAACATCTTGCTTAGAAACCTCAGCCAGATATCCAAGTTCATCACTGCCTTCCACCAAACATTTGAACGTAATTTAGACAAATTCTTTGCCACTGCATAAAAAGCATCATCCTTGCAATGATGCATCTCCTCATCCAGAGCAAAGAAGAATGAAGAAAACCAAAGACGCATGGAAACAATTAGTCCAAGTGACTGGTACACCATGGGACCCTCATCCTATGTGACTGTGAGACCAGAAGAACTAGGTGGTGCCCAGCTATCACTGTCAACCACTCAGAGGGGGATTATGTAGGAGATCCTGGGTAGAGTAGGAGAACAATGTGGAACAAAACTCAAAACTATATATATATATATATATATATATATATATAGGAGCTCTGGTAGCATAGTGGCTAAGACACTTGCCTGCTAACCAGAGGGCTGGCGGTTCAAACCCACCAGCCACTCCTCGGAAGGAAGGTTGGGCAATCCTACTTCCGTAGTGATACTGCCTCGGAAACCCAAGGAGGGGTCGCTATGAGTCGGGTTTGACTCAACGGCACATAACAACAACAACAACATATATATATATATATATATAAAGGAACCAGGTTTGCTGGTCTGATAGAGCCTGGTGGAATCACTGAGACTATGGCCTCCAGCTGCCCTTCAGGTATGGAACTGAACTCAGTCTTGTGGCTTTCAGCCAAACAAAAGACAAGCATATGAGCTGAACATTTACGTTAGGTAGATACACTCCTTATAGAAATCAACCATGGGAGAATAGAAGGGCTGTCTGTGTATGCACAGGGAGACAGGTTGGGGGGTAGGAGTGCATGGGAAGGAAGGACACAGGAAGAGGTGGCTATGGGGAGGAAGTGGGAGGAGAGCTATTGCATTGTGGGAGATTACAGTCAATGTCAATGTGTATGTGAACTGTATGGAAGATGAATTTGCTCTGTACACTTTCACACAAATTACAATAAAATTTAAAAAGAAAAAACATTTCTCCATTGTCCAATTATATGTTCATCATTTTATTTTAAAGTCTCATCAGAAGCACATTTATGTCTAGTAATCTTCTGTTGATGGCACCATATGTGTTCTCTAAGATGCCAGAGACTTTCTCTGTAACTTTCCTCACTTCCTTCTGAGTCTTCACTAGAATTACCTTTGAAGTCCATATTTCTGCCAGCAGTCTCTTCCAAGCAGTTAAAACTCTTAAAACTCTTCTAGCCTCTGTTGTTGTTAGGTGCTGTTGAGTCACCTCCAACTCATAGCGACCCTATTCACAACAGAATGAAACACTTCCCTGTCCTGCGCCAGCTCCATGATCCTTGCTATAGTTGGGACCATCGTAGCAGCCACCATGTCAATCCATCTCGTTGAGGGCCTTCCCCTCTTTCATCATGCTTACCAAGCATGACATGCTTCTCCAGGGAATGGTCCCTTCTGACAACATGACCAAAGTAGGTGAGATGAAGTCTGGCCATTCTCTCCTCCAAGGAGCATTCTGGCTGCACTTCCTCCAGGACAGATTTGTTAGATCTTTTAGCACTCCATGGTACTCTCAGCATTCTTTGCCAGCACAACTCAAAAGCATCAACTCTTCTTCGGTCTTCCTTATCCATTGTCTAGCTCTCACATGTATATGAGGTGATTGGAAATACCATGGCTTGTTTCAGGCACACCTTAGTCCTCAAGGAGACATCTTTGCTCTTCAGCACTTGAAAGAGGTCCTATGCAGCCGATTTGCCCAGTGCTATATGTCATCTGATGTCTTGTCTGCTGCTTCCATTGGTGTCAACTATAGAACCAAGCACTGTGAAGTCTTTGACAATGTCAGTCTTTTCTCCATTTATCGTGATGTTGCTGCTTATTGGTTCAGTTGTGAGGATTTTTGTTTTCTTTATATTGAGATGGAATCCATACTGCAGACTGTATTCTTTAATCTTCATCAGTAAGTGCTTCAAGTCATCCTCACTTTCAGCAAGCAAAGTTGTGTCATCAGTGTATCTCAGGTTGTTAATGATTCTTTCTCCAATTCTGATGCCACGTTCTTCTTCATATAGTCCAGCTTCTCAGATTATTTGCTCAGCATACAGATTGAATAAGTATGGTGAAAGGATATGTGGTGGTTATGTTTGTGTGTCAACTTGGCTAGGCCTGGTTGAGTGGCTGGGCAGCTGGATGTAGTATTGCCCATGGTGAGACTGGTAATCAACTCCAGGGTAGAAGCTACTGTGAGCAGCTGAGTAGCTGCCTGTGGGTATGTGGTCTGCTTCCTGTATATAAGCAGCAGCTTCGGGAATGGTCTCTAGCCTATGGCACACTTGGACCCTGCATGTAGCCATGTCGTTGCTCAGCAGCCTGCTATGCTCTGCCCACCTTGGGACTTACAATTCACTTAAGTTAATGGCCTGCTGTGTGGTTTGGTAACATCGGGACTGTGCCTGTTTACTTGTCAACCTTGGGGCTTCTCAGCCTCAGCAGCCAGCAGCTGTCTGAGTGAAGAACTGCCTCTAGCTCCAGTGGGCTGGGAGCAGGAGGCAGAGCTGGACCCCAAGGTTGAGGGGCTTTCACCCAGCCCCTAGAGCCTGGCACTTTGAACTTGGACTTAAAGCCTCCAAACTGTAAGAATAAACTCCTGTTTGTTAAGGCCATCCCATTTGTGGTATATTTCTTGTCAGAGCAGCACTAGGTAACCAGAACAGAATTCAACCCTGATGCACTCCCTTCCTGATTTTAAACCATGCAGTGTCCCCTTGTTCTGTTGAAACAACAGCCTCCTCCTGGTCTATGTATAGGTTCCTCATGAGTACAATTAAGTTTTCATTCCCAGTTTTTTTTTTTTTTTTTTTTTTTGAGTGCCTTTTGACCTAAGGGGCTCATCTTCCTGCACTGTATTGGACAATATTTCGGGGCTATTCATAAAGTTGCCCAGTAATGTAACAGACAGTGTTTCTCTGCTATTCATAAGGTTTTCCTTGGCCAATTCTTTGAGAAGTGGATGGCCTCTTCCTTCTTTCTAGTCTGTTTCAGTCTGTAAGTTGCATTGAAACCTGTGCACCATGAGCAACACTGCTGGCTTTTGAAACACTGGTGGCACAGCCTCAAGCCTCACAGCAACGTGCAAGCCACCACAGTATGACAAACTGACAGACAAGTTTGTCTCCCTTAGCTGTTGGAAACCTCTCCGCCCTCCCCTTACCTAATTCCTACCTGGATCCTGCTGCTTTTGTGGTCCCTGGTGATCCCTCCCTTTCCTGCCTCTGACTCCTGTCTAGCCTCTACTATTACCCAATTCCAAAAGTGTTTCCTCATGCAGGTGTCTGTTAGAGTAGCACCCCATTCTCCAGTAACAAATTCTTAGTCATCTAGTGCTGCTATAGCAGAAATACCACAAGTGGCTAACTTTAACAAACAGAAATTTATTCTCTCAGTTTATTTATTCTCTCACAGTTAGGAGGCTAGAAGTCTAAATTCAGGGTGCTAGCTCTAGGGGAAGGCCTTCTCTTTCTGCTGGCTCTGGAGGAAGGCCCTTGTTCCTTGGTGATCTTCATTTGACGTAGCTTCTATCTTCCCCTGTCTCTACTTGCTCCTCTGTCCTAATATGCTCTTTGTATATCTCAAAGGTGATCCTTTTAAAACACAGCCTACATCGATATGGCCTAACATAAGAAAGAAACCCCATTCCTACGTGGGATTGTACTATACATAGCCACAGGGATAGGGATGCCTACTTACAACACATACTTTTTTTTTTCTTTAATTGTGATTTGAGTGAAAGTTTACAGAGCAAATTCATTTTCCATACAGCAGTTCACACATATTTGGTTTCATGATGTTGACTGCAATTCCCCACAATATAACAGCTCTCTTCCCACTTCCTCCCTATAGTTACCTCTTCCCTGTGTCCTTTCCTATGCATTCCTGCCCCCTGAGCTATCTCCCTGTGCAAATACTGCCCTTCTGTTTTCCCATGATTCATCATTCTAAGGAGTGTATCTACCGGATGTAAATGTTCACCCTGTAAGCTTGTCTATTGTTTGGCTGGAAGCCACAGGAGTGAGTTCAATTCTATTCCTGAAGGGTAGCTAGGGACCATAGTCTTGGGGGACTCACTAGGCTCTATCAGACCAGTAAACTGGTCTTTTTTTATGATTTTGAGTTTTGTTCCATGTTATTCTCCCACTCTATCTAGGATCTCCTCACTGATCCCTTTCTGAGTATAACATACCTTTGGGGAACACAATTCAATCCCTAACAGGATGATAAAGCACCCACAGCCTGATGAGGATTTGAAGAGGGGATGAGTGCCATGTGTCCAGACCAGTGGTGGGTGGCTGCTAATAGTGCCACAGATGCCTCTGGCCCTTGCAAGAACCTCCACCCCCGTGTTTCATGCAGATGTCATGCAGAACTTCTCCAGCCAGCCTGAAATCCAGCTCAAGGCCATCAGGAGGCTTCTAATAATGTCTGATGATGAGCTAGGTAGAGACCCCACACCCCTCCTAAATTCCTCCCCTCAGGCAGACCCTATACCAGACCTCTGAGGAGTGCTCTCAGCGGGGATTTCTTATACATCTGGGGCCTGCTTCCATTCCCTAAGATCCATGTCTTCATCACTGGCTTAAAATGTGGGCACCTGAAATTTTCCCTGTGCCCAGCAGAGCAGGCAGGGGTGTGGGATGGTGAGTACTGGTTTCATTAACAGGGGTCTCCCTTGATGTGATTATAATGGATGCATCTATTCTACAGTTTGCCTATGGGTGGATAGTGGGGTTGTTTGTAATTTTCTGTGATGCCAGACAACACTATAGCAAGCAGCTGGTGCATGAGTATCATTGCACTTGTGACAGTCTGTGGGATAAGTTTCTAAATGTCAAGGGGGTGAATACTTCATATTTTCATAGATCCTGCAAATTACCCTCCATGGATACACCACATTATCCACTGATTGAGAGAGCGTATGAGTGCCTTTCTTAATTTTGCCCAGGCATGGTTTCATAATATCCACTCAATCTCTCTCACTAGTGTGAATATTATTTTACTCAGTCACCTTTTCACCCACCCACCCAACCTGCCATCCTTCTGACTACCCACCCATTCATCCACCTACCCATTGTATCTATTTATCCATCCATCCACCCACCCACTCATCCACCCACTTGTTCATCTACTTATCCATCCATTTGTACATCTTTTCATCCATCCACACACCCATCCATGAAATATGTATTGCTGTGGGCAGGGTCTGTCTTGGTGGCTGGGGCATCAATGATTATAGATTCCACTCTTGTGGATCAGTAGAGGCCTTATCTGGGCCATTTGTCTTTCCTTCCTTCCCCTGGATCCTTCTGGAGCCAAAGTCTGGCCAGGACAGAGTCCATGGGAAAGGAGATAACACCTTCCTGGGAAAGCTGAGGAGAGGCTACTGGGTCCCTTTCCACCCACCCTAGAGCCAGGCCTGCTCAGACAGCCTAGTTTGGGATGAGTTTGCTGGGGCTCAGCTTCCTAGGTACCAGCACTCTTGTCTCGTTCTCACCACAGCCCTGTGATGTGGGGACCATTATCTCTTCAGATGAGAAAACTGGGGCTGGGGGAGGAGAGCAGCAGTGGCACAGGGTAGAGCTGGGACCAGACTTGGGCTGCCTGTCTGCTGCTCTTACCCTCTGTTCCTGTTCAGAGGACTGGGTAGAAACCCAGGTCTCCACCATCAGGACAGCTACAGCAAGGGCTACACAGCCAAACAGGCCTGGTCACTGCTCAAGAGCAAGTACCGTCACCTTGGACACTCAGTTTTCTCATCTGTACTGTGGGGTTATTAACAAGAGTGTCCTACCTCGCCAAGCTGTGGGAAGCATTGCATAAGATGCCTGTGGCAGACACACAGCAAGCACCCAATAAGCAATTTCCTTGGCTCTTGTAATTGTTGGGTCCTATGCTTGGTGCCCTGTAGGTTCCCAGCTGCATCTGGGCTCCTCTGCCTACTCCTGGTTGGTCCCTTCCCAAGTCTGGCCTCTGCACTTTGCCTGCCAGGTGTGCCGTGGCCAATGGAACTGGTGGAGCTGGTGCTCAAGATTATGAAGCAGCATGATTGGATCCTGGACATGCAGCTGTCTGGATGCTCCCTGCTGCTGCGACTCCTTGGCCAAGGTGGGTACTGGGTCTCTGCACCACTCACCCTCCAGCCCGGGCCAATGCCCTGCCCACACCACTCTTCTGCAGCCCTGCGCCCTGGGCCTGTGTCCAGTCCTGCCCATCCAACTCATATCAGGAGGATGGATAGAGTAGGACACAGGCTATGGGAGGTGGACCTGTCCTCCAGCTGGAGTCCCCTATGAACCCAGGTGCTAGACACACCTCAGTGTCTTCTGGGGTTACCCACATGGAAGGGGGACTTGGAGAAGGGAAAGGCTGAGGGAGCAGGGAGGAGCAGGAGCAAAGTCAGCGATCCACTGTCTTTGGCTCTTTAGTATTGAAGGTTTACTCCCCAAAACAAAACAAAACTCACTGCCATCAAGTCGATTCCAACTCATAGCAACCCCCTTTGGGTTTCCAAGTAGATTTCCCAGTCTTCATTCTGTAGAGTGACTGGTGGGTTTGAAGCACCAACCTTCTCGTTAGCAGTCAAATGCTTTAGGCACTATGTCACCAGAGCTCCTTGCTTTACATCCCAGGCACTGCTTTAAACGAAATGTGCTGAAAGCACAGAAACAGCGTCTAGGGCCGTTAGGGTTTTTTTTTTTTTTTTTTAATTTATTGAAATAGAATTTATATATAGTGAAATACACTAAATTAAAGTGACATGGGTCAATGCTAGGGCCATTAGTTTTAACTTGCTGAATGCTCCCTCAGCTGGCATGGAAACTGCGATGGCCAATAGAAACCGCTCAGTGGCATCCCCAAGTGCTCCCAGGGCATGTGCCATGCCTGCCTATCCTAGATATGCCTTACCTATGTGGGCAGAGCCTCACTGCTCTTCTCCAGGAGCACCTAGGGTCAGGGTGGACCTGGCCCCTCCCCCCCCAGTGCAGACACAAGTTCAGCCAGAGGGAGGATGCTGAGTGCATCTGGCCCCCTGTGGGTCCAGGGGACCCTGCTTCCCCACACCCCTATGGTTCTGACCTACCCTGCTTCCCCACGGCCATGCAGCACTGGCACAGGACCCAGATGCCGAGGCACCATGCAACAATGCTGTGATCGCCACCCTGCTGGGCATCATGCAGTGCCACCCCAACTCAGAGGAGCTCATCATCACAGTCTACAGCCTGCTCACCATTGTCTCAAGCCAGGGTGGGTTGCCACATGCTGGACTGTCCCTTGGGGGCACTCAGGGCAAGAGTTGGAAGAGTTGGTCCTGGGTACAGGTGATTTGGGGTAGTGCTGACAGCCATGCTGTTCTAGATGCAGTCAGGCTGCCTTCTGTCTGGATGCCCAGCCTCCATTTCTACAGGTGTGCACCCTTCCACCAGTGCACATGGGCACTGGCGGGGCATGCACCACCAACGCATGGTCAAACTTCTCCCATCTGGGAGGTCAGGGCAAACTACCAGAGCACCAGGCAGCCTGGGGCTATAGGGAAGAAGGCCATGGCCCTGTGCTCCCTGGCACCTTCACATGCCCTATCATTCTGTCCCTGGCACAACAGTGGGGATGCAAGAGGCCAGGTGCAGGCACTGAGCCCCCAGCAGACATCAGAGGGAGGGAGGCTCTGGGAAGACTTTCTGGAGGAGGTGTTCTCATCCTAGCCATCCACAGAAACGACTGCAAGGGAGCTGCAGAAGGCTGAGCTGTTTGAGCACATCCTGGAGCACCTGAACAGGTTCCTGGACAGCAGGGACATCTGCGTCACTGGCCTAGGCTTGCTCTGGTCCCTCCTGGTGGATGGTGAGAGCCCACCACTCCCCTTCCCCATCACCAGCCTGGGCCTGCTCTGGTTCCTTCTGGTGGTCAAGACCACCCCCCATATCCCCTATCACCTCTTGAGAGGCTTGGGGTCCTCCCCTCCTGTCACTGAACACTTCAGGATGAGCCAGCCAGGACAGGTTCTCTTCGGAGTTTATGCTGGCGCACAGCAGTAGAAACGAGACAGAAAGAGGCACTGCCAGGCAGAACCCCCATCTCCTGCACTAGGGATATGACCATGCTGCCCAGGGAAACGATGGGTCCCTTGTACCCTGGGAGCCCCTGGGTTCAGAGTTAGCCTTATTAATTCAGAAAAGGGGCTCCAGGTCCGTGCTGCCTGCCTTCCACCAAGCCCCATCTTGTTACTTTTGTGCCCAAGTGAGAGAGGGTTCCCAAGCAATCAGGAGCCCTAGAAAACCCGAGAGAGCCTTGCCGACACCAAATGCAAAAGTCCTGACCCCTGCTGGAGAGGATAAGCCCTGGCCTCAGACTTGCTGGTGGGGCAGGAAGCCCAGGGCATCCACCTGAGGACTCTGGCTGCTCTCTGGGAGCCTTCTAAGCTGTCCTTGGTGGGAGGCAAGGGATACATTAGGTAGCATATACAGCAGGCACTGCACGAGCATCCTCCCGCCCCCAATGGCTCCAGCTGTTCTTGTGGACAAGGCTCCCTTAAAGAAGGCTCCCTTGCTTGTTGCCCACGTGATGACCACCTACTCCACGGATGGCGAAATGGCAGAAGCTGGCTGTGCGGTCCTCTGGCTGCTGTCATTACTGGGTGTGTGGCCTGGGCCAGGAACTGGGTTGGGGGGCAGAGCCAATGTTGGCTGCAGGGACCCATAACAATGAAGTGCTGGCCCCTGCTGCAGGCTGCATCCAGGAGCACCAGCTGGAGCAGATGACAGGGCTGTTCCTGCAGAGCATCCAGCTATGCCAGGACAGGGTCCTGCTGGTGAACAATGCCTACCGTGGGCTAGCTAGCCTCGTCAAGATGTCTGGTGAGGGCTGCATCTAGGGGCAGGGGTGTCGGGGGGTGGAAGCTACACACAGACTATGAGGCAGACACAAGACAGGACCATCACAGACATCCAATTCCTCCTCCAGAAATGGCCAGGACCTTTCCATACATGTGTGACAAACTGTCCTTTTTCAGTCAACACTACATCGTGCACTTCTCTCTCTGTTCATAAACACATGCACATGCATTGTTTCCCAATGCCCAGAGATCGCCTATTAAAACAGACCTGACTGCTAAAGAATTGGTGTCTTCAAATTCCCACCACAGCACAGCTTCAAGCCTATGACTCTTCACAATAATTACACACACACACATATACACATATATACATATATATATAATCTCCCTTGAAGGGAAATGAGGTCCAGGGCATGGTGGGTGGCCCCTGTGGGGGTGGTTCCAGGTGGCAGGCTGGGCTGGGGGAGCCCAAGGCCCTGCCACATGGGGAAGATGAGCAGCCAGGCCCGGGTACCTCCTCAGGCACAGCTGGACCTGGGGGCAAGGTGGTCTTCAATCTGGGAGGCTTGCAGCTTGTGGCAGTTCCCAAGATAGAACCAGTCCTGGGTGAAGGCCTGGCCCAAGTCCCACCTATGCTGTCCCAGGTCAGCATCCACTTGGGTAGAAGGGTACAGGCAGCACCTGGCTCCCAGGAGCATAGCACATGCTCAAGAAGTCCAGCAGGAGTCTAAGCCCAGAGTGCTGAAGCCCACCTCCAGCAGGCACACTCCAGGTAGTGCTGGGGACTCCACAAGCAGGGTCACTCCTGAAGCCAAAGCCAAACCATACTGATTCCCACTGGAATAAGGCAGGAGGTCCCTTCTTAAAAATGTCTTGCAGCTCAGGTGGAAAAGCCTTGGGAGAGATCTGTCCCCATCACTTGGGGTGCCATCATTGCCCATCCCCCCACCAGAGCTGGCAGCCTTCCAGGTGGTGATGCCTTCAGAGAGTGGCAGTGGCCTCAGGTTCCTGCATGAGACATACCAGCTGTACAAGGATGACCCCCAGGTGGTAGAGAGCCTATGCATGCTGCTGTTCCACCTCGCCTCCTATAGTGAGCCCCTTCTCCCACCTCACCTCCCAGGGTGCGGCCCACCCTCCACAACGTCAGTATTCATCTGCCCATTGCCCACCATGTGCCAGATACTGTCCCAGCTGAGGCAACAGCATGGGACACTGAGCAGAGCGGGGTCTCCACTACCTTGACAGTTAGCCCCACCCTCCACTAGCTTCCTGTTGGACTACCACCCCCTAGGACCACCTGCTTCTACCCAGTCTGCTTCTGAGCCCCTGGGGTCTCCATCTGAGCCTAGGACCTCTATGATGGGGGTGGAAGAGACAGGGCCTAGCCTCAAAGCACCTCCCTCTCTGCCCACAGAGGACATCCTGCCAGAGTTGGTGTCCAACGACATCACATCCCTAGTCCAGGAGATTAAGGGACGCTTCACATCCAGCTTGGTAAGGGCCTTGCCCAGTGGGCTCCTGGGAATCCAGGCCCCAAGTGGCCCTAAGTTCAGGGCCTGGACAAGGTTTATATGGAACTGACCTTGGTCTTAGGAGCTCTGGTGGCACAGGCATTTGACTGCTAACCAGAAGCCTGGTGCTTCAGACCCACCAGCCACTCCTCAAGAAGGTTGGGCAATCTACTTCCGTAGTGACACTGCCTCGGAAACCCAAGGAGGGGTGACTGGGTCGGATCCAACTCAATGGCAGTGAGTTTGGTTTATTTTGTTTGGACCTTGGTCCTGGCATGTAGCGCTAAGTGACTATTTCCAGGCTGCCTGATTCCAGGTCTACAACTGGACCAGAAAGTCTGGTAGGGGAGGAGTAACCAGACCTGTCTCCGGGTGGTACAAACAAGTGCTTGGCTGCTAACCAAAAAGGTTGGGGGCTAAAGTCCAACTAGAGATTCCTCAGAAGAAAGGCCTGGTGATTTACTTCTGAAAAATCAGCCACTGAAAACTCCACACAGCACAGTTCTACTCTGGCACCCATAGGATCACAATGCGTCAACCACAGCTTTTCTAAGTCTCCCACCCGCAGACAACTGAGCTGTCGCATGAACCTACTTTCTGACCTGCATGTCCTCTTCCAGGAGCTGGTTTCCTACGCAGAGCAGGTGTTCCTACGACTGCAAGCCATATTGCCCAGCTTCCCAGAGAGCTGTCCATTGGACAATGATGCCAAATAGGGCCACCTCCCAAATGCACCTTCCCTTCCCAGGCGGATGACCTACCTGCCTTGAGTTTCTGTCTTCCTTCCCTGCACTGCCAGCTGGGGGGCACCCAGCATGTTCTGCTCGGATCACTAATAAAGGCCTGTGTTCCTATATCTCTGCACACACCCTACCCCCTGGACGCCCAGTTCCTTTCAAAAGACCTTCTCAAGAGAGAGGACAGTGGGCCTTAGATCACACATACTTTATAGTAAAAGCATAAACATTTATTTTCAATTAAGATTCCCTGTGGGTCTGGACCACTTGTATGCCTCTAATTTCACTTACTCCAGCACAACTACCTGCCCTAACTTGTTTCTAGGCCAGGCCGTCAGGCAGGCTGGGGCTTTACAGGCCAGCTGTGGGGATGGGCTTGGCCAGGCTGGGGCTTGCAGGCCATGGTGGGGGCATGCTTGGCCTTTGCAACCAACTGGGAAGCAGACGAGAGCAGCTCCAGGTACAGTCACTATCGTGGTTGGGGAAGCCTAGCACCTCCCATCATCCAAATGCAGGCTGCCCGTGTTCCGGAGGTGCCTTTGCCGCGTGCTAACCTACAGTGCACCTGAGCCAATTTATTTAAGAAGATGGAAAGGAGGAGGAGGTGGGGAAGGAAACTTGCCCTCAGAAAGCTTGCCTCGGTGGTAATGGCTTTGTGTCTAGCACGCCTTAGTAGAATGATGCGCACATGACTTGACATCCCAAGTGCAGGCAGAGTACCTGACATCACCAGCAGACCACCAGCGCTTCCTGGTCCTGGGGAACCTGGGGTCAATGGCCTGAGGAACCCCTTGAATGGGTGGTGATGGCTGAGGCCCCAGTACCCCCATCAGTCCCACCTATGTCTCCTGCAGCACCCAGTGCTAACAGCTGACTACTCCCCAGGTCTCCCTGCCCATCCTGCCAGCAGACACACAGGTGTCAACAAGACAGGGCCACAGGGTGAAACCAAGAGGGAAGCCATTCTTCTCTGAGCACACATGCCAGGCCCAGCTGCCACAACTGAAAGCATTTCAGAGCCATCTTGTTGAGCACATTGGCCCATATGGCCCAGTGATAATGGTCACAGTGCCACTGGGTTGAGGTGCTGCCACAACACCAGGGTGGTGTCTGTCACATGAGGCTGTTGTCGGGCACAGTGGCAGTCTTGTGCTTGTCTTTGAAGGTCCTTTCCCACTCCTTCTTCACCATGACATAGAGTCTCATTGCTGCCTGGGCATCTTGAATCTAGAGACACAGTACAAGGCCCGTAAGTGACAAAGCTTGGCCACAGGCCACATGGAGCTAACGCCACAATTACTGAGCCCCCGATGCTAGACACTGTTCTAGGGTGCACAGGCAGTGAGGTATTGGCCTTCCCAAGATGGCCCCAAGCCATCCACAGTGCAATGGGCAGTGGAAAGCATCTAGCAGCCTGCATGACAGCCTGTCCCATTGTGATTCTGACACAGGCTCCTCTGCACAACAGGAGGAAAGAAAAACCTGAACAGGCCAGAGCAGTTATGTTGCCTGTTCAGGTACATGAGGCACTTACTGAGCACAGACACCAAGGTGGGTGTGTTGAGCTCGATGGGCTTGGCCCAATGGCCAAAGAGAGCCCAAGAGCTAGTCTAAACACAGGCTAGCGTGGTGGGAAGTGGGTCCCCAGGCCCATCAGAGGACAAGGGGCTGGCTGGGTGGCCCAAATCATGAGAGTTTTTTGTGCTAAGCATTAATTACTGGCACCAAGGACATACTCACCGAACAGTGTTCTGACTGCTGCACTCTGATGCCCAGAATCTTCTCTGAGAGCAGCTTCAGAGCTGGCCTTCCACTCTGCAAGGGAGCAAGGGCAGCACAGGGCTGGGGCTGTGTGTGGCGGGGGGCAGGCGGCTGCAGCGAAAAGGGAGGAGCCGGCCACCGAGCCCCAGCCACTGACCTCCAGTTTGCCTTTCAATGGAAGCACCCACGGCACTTCAGGCCCCAGCCAGCAGCCATGATGGGTAGTGACAAACAGGACCTCTCTACCTGCTTCAGTCATCTTGCTCAAGGGGGAAGTATGCCTTCGGCCCCACCCATAGGAGAGCTAGTGGTGGCTCCTGCCCCACTGAGCGATCCTGTCAGAGGTTGGAGCATGAAGCCACACAAACCCTACGGCTGTCAGTTAGCAGAGCTCTGCCATCTCTCAAGCTTGCTTTTAGTTTTAAAGGTTAAAAAGAAAACCAAAAATGAAACAACAAAGCCCTACCCAAGATGTCAGCCACCAGGGACCACATGAGCAATTATGTGAACTGACCACATGAACTACCTGGACTTGACGCTTGAAAGGCTTATATTTCTGTGTGTCCCGGATCATCTTTTTTGGGTGATCAAGAAACAGCACCTAGAAGGGAAACAACAGGGGCAGCGACTTCAAGTGCTAGTTTCCAGCAACGTAACTTCTTTTTAACAAATGATATCAGAGAGTGGCACGCACATGCGCGCACACATACCTACAAGAACAGATAAGGTATTGACCCAGATAGGAATTTTTAAAGAAAAGTTGTCACACTGACTTCAAATGATGCCCGACAGCAAGAGCTACAAGAATAAAAACAAAATCTTGAAACTGGGAAGAGAGAATCAACCAGTGACAACGTAGTCCTGCACTTTTATCTAGTTTCCTACATGGAAAAAGTTAGAAGTGATCAAAGTTTCAACAGCCTATCTTGGAACCTCAGGACAGGCTTCAAGCGAAACTGAAAAGTGAAGCTGGCCATGAATATGAGTCAACACATGTCAACAGGGCCACAGCCTGCTGAGGGATAAGTTGCCACAGGACTCTACGGTGCTATGTTTGTGATGTGACACATCTGAACATGCAGATGGCCTTTTGCTAATCTAAAGGTTGGAGAGATTTTAAAAAGATTTAAAGCCAACATGTACAGACACTGAGGCACCTCTGAAGGCTCATGGGGTGCTGTCTAGAAACCCCGGCAGCAGGCAGCCACGTAGTGAAGGGCAGTCTCCCCCTCCGCACATGCAGTTCTGGCCAGAATAGGTGGCCAGAAACCCTGAAAGCAGTATGGCTAGCAGCCATCATACATACCTACTGGGGCACTGAGTGGACCCTCCATGCTCACTCACCCGCTGAGCTGGCCAACACTGGTCAACCCATGAAAATAGAGAAAATGAGGCTGAGATGGTGCTGTGAAGTGGTGGCCTCCAGACACAGGGGCCTCAAAGGAGTAGCCGAGTGAATCAGAGAAGCAGAGAGGGGGACTGCAATGGTCAAGATCTCCATCCCACCTCAAGCCACTTTGATACCTCGGGTTTGCCACTCAGCATCACTGTGCTGTTTCACCATCTGTGGCATTCACTTTTGTTACTAAAGGTATTTCAATTTTAAGTACAAATTCAGTATGACAAAAAGGCCCCATGATGATGCTTATGCAGAGATGGCAAGAGGATGTGTGCAGCATGCACGGGAGAGCCAGCAACCCCATGTCCCTGGGCCTGACAGGAGCATGTGTGGCACACATGGGAGACAGCACCCCATGTCCCTGGGCCCTGATGGCTGCAAGGATATGCAACACGCATGGGAAAGATGGCAACCCCACGTTCCCAGGGCAGGACCTTTAAGTCGTTGTGCAGCGCGTGTCCAACCAGAATCCTGCCCTTCAGCATTCCTGCCACTTCCTTCTGGATGACAGCAAACTCTTCCCCTGAAACCAAAGGAGCAGCGCTAGAGCAGCACTGCTGGCAGAGGTGGAGATGCCACTCTAGAAATACCCTGTTCACCTGTGAGGCCACATATGAGGGTGCCATGGGGTACCACAGGTCACCCCTACGAGAGGGGAGGGGATGTAGGGAGGGCTTCAAGGACACCAGCAAGAGTGTGCTGTCCAGGGGTCAGTCCCTCCTGACTGGGATAGAGGGCATGTGGCTAGTGGACAGGAAGGTGTTCCCAATCCCCCCACTTCCAGCCCTGCTCATGGGCCAGGGCTTGCTGTAAATGCTTGTCCCAGGCACACACTGGTACCTAGGCTGAGGCCAGTGTTTAGAAACTCTGTGACCATCTGACAGTAATTGTTGCTGAACCTGTGACAAAACCAGGGCTTGGGCTTTATCTTTTTCCAACTGGAAATTCCAAACAGCCCCACTGCCACAGAATTTGAGCAGCTCTGCCTGCTTTCTCAGAGTAGACCCCCTGTGGGTGGTTCCCACCCTACCCCCATACCACTTAGTCACTCCTGCCCACAGCTAACTAGACCAAGGGTGGCCCCTAACCCAGGCAAGATCCATGAGAGCCACCCTCCCAGATTTTGAAATTGGGACCAAGAGATGCTAAGGAGAGCTGTCTTACTGGGCATCATGGATTAGAAAAAGAAAATGAAAAATAAGCAGAGAGAGACAGTCTGCAGAGAAAGCATGAAGACACACAGAGGACAGGGCAAACGTATGGCCCAGAGGGGTTTTTCCTGAGTTCCAGACCTCCAAGCCATCCTTCATCCCTCACCTTTCAGCCCACACACCTGGTCCATCAGTAAAGCCTCTGGGCTCAGCCATCACAAAGTCCCTGAGGTGGGTCACCCTACCATTCTTTCCTGCTACCTCCCCAACCTTATCACCTCCATGACTGCAGAAGCCTCTCCACATGTCTCCCTGCTCTCACCTCACACTCCCTGTCTATGCTCAACACCACAATCAAGGGAACTAACCTCATGTTCCCTGTCTATTCTCAACACCACAGCTGAGGGAAGCCACCTTGCACTCTCAGTCTACGCTCAATGCCACAGCTAAATGAACCTAACTCATGCCCTATTCTATGCTCAACACTACAACCAAGGGAACCTTTTAACACCAAGCCAACTAAACTAAGCCTTCCTTCAGTGCCCAAATCACCTAAGAACCAGAGCCCTGCAAGGACCTACAGGACTTCACTCTCTCCCAACACATAAATCCTCCCCTCCTGCCTACCCCTTAGCCCACACCAGCCCCTTAGCTGGTCCTCTGATGCCCCCTCTTGTCCCTATTCCCAACCAATACAAAGTAACTTGAGAGCACAGTAGTGGGCCTAACTGCCATCTGGACACTAATCATTCCAGGAGGTGAGCTGTGTCAGGTGTCCTACATGATTGCTTCTAAACATATACAGGAACCAAAGGAGGAGAAGCTGCACGGTGAGGCTTCCATCCTGGTCCATCAGCTGCTGGGACATACCCTGCTTGAGGTCCGCCGGCCGGATCCCACTGACTGCTGTCCTGTAGTCCGTCACAGGCTCTGTCGGCTGGATGTACTTGTCATAAACACACTTCCCATGCTGGTTTACAATGGACACTCGGGCAGCGATGCTCTCCTCCCCATTGGGGCCCACGCCTACCATCTCACAGTCCAGGGCCAGGGCTCTGGTCAGGCTGCAGGGACCAAAGGCTCTGTCAGTAAGCCCTGCAGGACCCAGGACCCAGCCCACATAGAACACTCACCCATCACTGATCCCAACGTGCCAGAAGACCGGGGAGGAGCTTGCCCAGTTCAGCTAGAGGCATGAAGGAATCCCCATTCTGTAAGGCTAAGCCCACCCAGCACCCTAAACTCCACCAGCACCCATATATACCCGCTGAAGCCCTGCTCCTTCACCAGGGTGATGTTGCTTTCATGCTGACCCAGCCTCTTCCTTGCTATGTTGGCTGCCTCTGGGCCTATGGCAGCCTCGATATCCTCTGGGTCAACATCGTCAAACCAGATGTCATCCCTAAAAGGCAGACAAAAACACATTCTGATTTCTGACTTTACGGCTGCTGACAGCAGACGGTGCCTGCCAGCAGAGGTGATGACAAGGGTCGTCTCCTAGGAACTAGTGTCCTGATGACTGGCTCCACAGGCCCAGGTACTCTTGGACCATGACCATTCCAGCACTCTCCTTTCCTCAAATGTGTTTCTTTCTAATCACAAAAGGAGTTCACTTGTCATCATAGGTTCAGGGAGTGGAGTGAAGACAAACTATATTAAACAGCAACACTTAACACACCACTCAGGCACAATAACCGCTAGTAGTGTCTCTGCAGTCACAGAAACAGTACGTTCATTATCAGACATTTAGGAAACATATACACAGGCTGCAAGACAGAAGTGTGTAAGAGAGTCATTCATGAAGGCTATGCTTCTTAAAAATCACCTCTATGAGACCAAATGGTCAACAATTACAACAAAGTTGAGAATGTCAGGGAACAGGGAAACTAGGTTATTAGAAACAGAAAACCAGAATGGCCGTAACAAGAAAGTTCCCATGTTGTGAAGAATGGAACCAATGTCACTGAACAACTTGTACAGTACAAACTGTTGAATGGGAACCTAAATTCTGTGTAAATCTTCACTGAAAACACAGAATTATATAAAAGGCAGAAACACACTATAAGCAGAGGCATGTGAGCCACTGCCGAGTGTAACAACTGTTGCTGCTTCCAGATGGGCCCCATGCTCGGATGCCCACACAGGCATAAATATCTCATCTTCCTGGTGAATTGTCATTTGGGTTCAGGTGAAATGTCATGTCCACAGAGTCCCTTCTGCCCCTGTGAGGTGGACACTCTCCCTTTGCCACTTGCTCCATCAGGCCTTCTGAGGTGGCATTACCCTGACCACACTGACATCGTGATAGAAGTCATTTCATTGTGTCATCCAACTCCCCACCTTGACTGTGAGCCTCATGGGGACACCCCCCACCTTGATTGTGAGCCTCATGGGGAGGGACACCCTGCCTGTCTGAGAACATGTACAGGACAGGTACCCTGCCTCACTAAACATGCATGCAGGACAGCCTGCCTCGTTTACAGCGCATTTGTGATGGGCAGCCTGCCTCACTCAGAGTGCGTGCAGCCAGTCTCTGACTCACCTATGTGCCACCTCCAGCTGAGCCATCTGGAGACAGCATGACTGTTGGTCCCCACAAATGACAAGCAGGTATTCAGTAAGCACCTCCCAGTGTGGCACTGTGCCCAGCATCTCACACCCACCCTCTATCTCTTCTTAGCATGTTACAGATGACCACCTGGGGTTCCAAGGACTTCCTGCCTTGAAGTGCCCAGCTGGCAAGCAGCAGGAATAGGTGTGAGGCTCCTGGCCTCAGCACTCATTCATTCCACAAAGCTTGACTGGGGCAAACGGAAGGTGAGCTCTGTTCTAGGCCCCAAAGACACAGCATGCATAACATGACACACGCTCTGCCCCACTACACCTACATTCTAGAGGAAAACCCATGACAGACTGTGAGAAAACAGACAAAAAGACCCCAGGGCAAGGTGACAGAGACTTGGGTGGGGCACCCAGCCAGCCAATGCTTCCCTTGGTGATTTTGTGCTCAGTGATGAGGTCTGCCTGAGCTGGCACAGCAGAGAGGACTATGCCAGCCACCACAGCCTTGACCCAGGCACTGACACTTACTCAGTGGGCAGGGCTGGAGCCACTGCCTCAGCTTTCCGCTTCTTATGCTTGATGTCCCCTTGTGTTGGGAGCATGTCACCATTTGTCCTTTTCGTGGTTCCTTTCTCATCATGCTCTGCTCTGGTGGCCTTTGCAGGAGGTGCTGGCACCTTCCTAACCATCAGGGCTCCTGCAGGCTCAGAGCCCCTGCCGGCCTCCTGGCACCAGCTCCCCGCCAGCCTGGGCTGCTCTGCCTCACCTCCCCTCCCTGGATCTGAGGCCATGCTTCTGCTCTGCCAGGTAATTTTGCATTGCTTTTTGGATCTCATTTGAGAGATAACCAGAGGCTTTTCTGGAGTCTGTGTTTTTTGTTTCAACAGCTAGTGGGATGCAAAAGAAAGTAAATGCCACAATTAGTTCAGAAATCAAGCACAGGTTAAAAAAATGAACACACACCCAATCACATTTATGTACACTTCCTACTAGCATCACTGAAATTCATTTTCACACGGTTTGGAAAATCACTCATGATAAAGTGCCTTTTCTTTGCTTTCCCCACAGCTGCACATCATTTAAAATCTGTTCCCTCATTTTGCGCAAAACTGCAAATATGCCATACCTAAAGTACCACCAACTGACTACTACCCCACACCTAGAGTATCACCAACCAATATCCCACACCTAAAGGACCACCAACTGACCAACATCCCACAGCTAAAATACTGCTGACTGAGTGCACTCCACGGGCTACTTTACACTGAGAGCATGAGGAGCAACTTGTTTTCACTTTTTTACAATGGATGATTTCTTAGAAGCAGACTGCCAGGCCTTTCTTCCGAGATGCTTCTGGGGGGACGTGAACCTCTAACCTTTGGCTTAGTAGTCGACTATGTTAACCTTATGCACCACCCAGGATCTCCAAGAATATATTTGACTCATTCCATAGTTACTTCTGTCATGGGTCAGACCAGGATGGTGCACAAAAGCCACTTTCTTTAAAGATTTCTTGGTCTGCATTTGCTGTGAGGGTCTCCGGAAAAAGAGGGTACGTTCAAGTAAAATAGCTTTTGTCAAACTGGAGGTGACCTGCTAGCAGCTCTAGCTGTTCTCATCCGAGGAGGGGCTCTCTGAAGTCTTTGAGCCCCACCCCCTTCATCCTAAATCCCCAGCTCCCAACTATAGTGGAGATTCCTGCCTGTGGCAACCAAGAGACAATGAGGTGGGGGTTTCCTCCTATCCGTCTCCTTAACCATTTCAAGACCAAATTATTTTCTGTTTTGAAATTTTTGTTGAAGCCATGTTTTCAGTAATGGAAGTATCTGGAATGAAATGGATAAAAAAAATTTTTTTAACATGGATTTTGACACAATTAGTGGGACATGTGTATCTCAAGTGTCTCTGGTGTTGAGGTTGGTAGGATGAGATCCATTTCTTCAAATTCAGATCCCAACTGGATGGCAGCCCACATTAAAAGTGGGACAGGAGCTTCCCACTAACCTAGAGGTGGAAAATGTACATGGGTACTATATGTCCCATGGGTCATAAAAGAGTTAATAAAGATTTAAAAGATTTACTTTCTACCATAAATTAGAGAAATATAAGGCTGCACTATAGTACTCATGCTTCTCACTCAATTTTGATTTACCTTCCTGGAGAAAGAAAAAAGAGGAAGAGGTACAGCTAATCCTCAAGAAATTATGGAGACCCCTGGGGCTCTCCAAAGGAATGTTCTCCTGGTCCTGTGTGTAAGGGCAGGAAAGTCATTAGAAATTGCCATCCTAGGTTACTGCTCAGTGTTAAGTGGCCCAAGAAGTTTTCACCCATTCACTCTCTCTCGTTTACTCTTGAGGCCCCACAGTAAATTCCAAAAAACTGTAGAAGAAACTTGGTTGGTCAACCTAGTGTAGTGGGACACAAAATCAAGCCAGAATGCATGGAAATATACCTCAGTTCTGTGACTTGGGCCAAGTTCCCCACAGTCTGTGTCTCAGTCTCCTTATCCAGGAGATGAGGATCAGAGCAATAGCTACTCACAGGATGGGGAGTGAAGCACAAGGAGCAGTGTCTGGCAGAGCTTAACCACTATGTAAGTGATGACCACTGCTGCCTAGGTGCAAGTGTCTAGAACATGGGCATGTTCCAGGGTCAGCCATCTAGGTGTGAGCCTCAGAACTGCTGCCTTCCGCTACAATCCTGAAAAATTTATTTAACTTTTCTAGGGCCATTTCCTCACTTGTGAAATAAATATGATGAAGACACCCGTCTCAGTGTTAATGAGAATTAAATGAGAAAATGAGTATGTGAGTCACATAGCAGAGTATCCACGTGTTCTGACAGCTCAACAAATGGGGATAAGTTAATTACTATCTACTTAAAAACCCTAAATTGCTTACCCTAAAGCTCCCTCAAGGAGCCACTTCTCCCAATGCCTGTTTATAAAATTGTTGCTGAAATCTGCCTCCACAGATCGCTTCCGGGGTCACCCAGGTCTCATCCATTTTTGCGTTGTGTTTTTTGCGACCAGTCAAAAGCCTGGGGAAGTGACCCGCGTGGTGGGTTCTCAACCTGCGCTCTTCCACCAAGTCTTACCTCTTGCAGCGTTTTCCAGTTCTGAGAAAATTCTTCGGGTGCCTTTGGAGGTCGCACCACGACAAATTTGGGACCGCTCTCCGGTTTCTTGTTGACTTCTTTCGCTTTGTTTTTCCACAATTGTCCCTTCTTGTTTTTCTTATTTAGCTTCTTGACAAGGCCTGGTTTGGCTGCGGGGCTGCTCGAGGAGAGTGTGGGTGCTGGGACCTTCGCTTTCACCATCCTCACATTGCCCGCGGTCTCTACAGCTGACCCTAAAGGGCTGCGTCCAGCGCTTTGGCCCGTGACAACGCGAGGACTATCGGCCGCCCAGATCTCCCCGCCCCCGGACTGCCTGGGTCCTTGCGCACCTTCGAATAATGTCTCTCCTCGCCTCGGCCCCGACGTGTCCTGTCGGAACAAACTCAGCCCCTGCGCTCCCTCTCCCCTTAAGGAACAACTCCTAGCCGGGTCCGCCCTACACTCACTCAGCCGCCGGAAGGAAACACGCTTCCCGGCCCCGGAAGCGCCCCAAGCGCCTCGAACTGGAGCGCTCCAGTCCCCGGAAGTGATCCTCGTCCGAAATCCCACGAGATCCGGCGTGGGGACGAGAAACTCGGGCACGGGAAGAGAAGCGGCCGGCCGGCCGGCCGGCCGGCGGGCGGGGCGGAGCGGCTGCCGGTGTAGCTCTACTTCTGGGTCGGCAGGGCCTGGGAAGCCGGCGGCCGGCAGGGGGCGCTGGGCGGTCCAGTCCTGAGCCCTGGGCTCAGGTTTACCTTTTCTTCGCCCTGTAACGGGCTGTGTTGTGACAAGTGTGAAGTGAAATAAAGTTTTGTTTTATGAAAACGGAGAGTTCTCTTTCCCATGATACTAAAGGTAATCTTATCACGTATTAGAAACCGACGTGCTGTATAGGAGCTCTGGTAGCGTAGTGCCTAAAGGCACTTGACTGCTAACCAGAAAGCTGGCTGTTCAAGCCCACCAGCCACTCCTCGGAAGGAAGATGGGGCAATCCACTTCCGTAGTGATACTGCCTCGGAAACCCATGGAGGGGTCGCTATGAGTTGGGTCCGACTGGATGGCACATAACAACAACATCATGTGCTATATACTCATAATTTTTAATGCCTAAAGCTATGGGTCCACCACTTGTCTGCCAGTTTGTAGTACTGTGATGGGTTGTGTGTTGCTGTGAGGGTGGCTATGCCACCGGTGTTTCGAATACCAGCAGGTCACCCACAGTGGACAGATTTCAGTAGAGCTTCCAGAATAAGATAGACTGGGAAGAAGGACAGGGCTACTCAAGTCTGAAAAAATTGGCCACTGAAAGCCTTATGAATAGCTTTGAAACACTGTCTGATATATTACTAAAAACTTTATGAATAGCAGTGAAATGTTGTCTGATGTAGTGTCAGAAGATGAGCCCTCAGATTGGAAGGCACTCAAAGTACCATTGGGGATGATCTGCCTCCTTAAAGTAGACTTGGCCTTAATGACATGGATGGAGTAAAGCTTTCAGGTCCTTCATTTGCTGAAGGGGCACGTCTTAACATGGGAAGAAACAGCTGCAAACATTCATTAATAATCAGAATATGGAATGTACAGAGTTTAAATCTAGGAAAATTGGAAGTTGTCAAAAATGAACACATGAAGGTCAATATCTTAGGCATTAGTGAGCTGAAAGGGACTGGTATTGGCCATTTTGAATCAAACGATAGATAATATGGTTTACTATGCCAGAAATGACAAATTGAAGAGGAACAATGCCACATTCATCGTCAAAAAGAACATTTCAAGATCTATCCTGAACTATAATTCTGTTATGATAGCATAATATCCATACACCTACAAAGAAGACCAGTTAATGCTACTATTTTTTAAATTTACACACCAACCATTAGAGCCAAAGATGAAGAAACTGCAGATTTTTATCAACTTCTGCAGTCTGAAATTGACCAAACATGCAATCAAGATATGTTAGTAATTACTGGTGATTGGAATGTGAAAGTTGGAAATAAAGAAGCAGCATCGGTAGTTGAAAAATACTGCTTTGATGATGGAAATGATACCAGAGACCACATGATAGAATTTCACAAGTCCAATGACTTATTCATTGCAAATACTTCTTTTTTAACAACGTAAGTGGTGACTATACATGTAGACCCTGCCTGATGGAATACACAGAAATCAAGTGGATGACATCTGTGGAAAGAGGAGATGGAGAAACTCAATATCATCAGTCAAAACAAGGCCAGAAGCTGACTCTGGAACAGACCATCAATTGCTTATATGCAAGTTCAAACTGAAGCTGAAGAAAATGAAAACAAGTACATAAGAGCCAAAATATGACCTTGATTATATCCTACCTGTATTTAGAGACCATCTGAAGAATAGATTTGATGCATTGAACACTGATGACCAAAGACCAGATAAATTGTGGGAGGGATGACATCAGGAACATCATACATGAAGAAAGCAAAAGGTCATTAAAAAGACAGGAAAGGAAGAAGAGACCAAAATGGATGTCAGAAGAGACCCTGAAACTTGCTCTTGAACATAGAGTAGCTAAAGGAAATAGAAGAAATGATGAAAGAAAAGAGCTGGCAGATTATTTCAAAGGGTGGCTAAAGAAGACAAAGTAAAGTATTATGAAATGTGCAAAGGCCTGAAATTAGAAAACCAATAAGGAACAACATGCTTGACATTTCTCAAGCTGAAAGAACTGAAGAAAAAATTCAAATTCAAACCTTGAATTGCAAGACTGAAGGATTCTATGGGCAAAATACTGGATGATGTGGGAAGAATCAAAAGAAGATGTAATGAATATGCAGAGTCAATATACCAAAAAGAAGTGGTTGATGTTCGTCTGTTTCAGATGGTAACGAATGATCAAGAACCAATGGTATTGGACTCATTTCCATGGATTAGCTCTCAGTCAAACAGTAGAAAGGCCTACAAGTAGAACACCTACCCCAGGGAGATGCACCCCTTAGATCAATCAACCATGAGAGACCAGAAGGGCAGCATTTGCATAGAGGGAAAGCTGGACAGACAGGAATACATAGATTAGAAAGACACAGGGAAGGGGCAGTCACAGGGAAGAGAGGGGAGGAGAACCTTTTATTGTTGGGATTGTTGTAATCGGGGCCATGAAACCAAATGTGGATGAACTGTTGAGGGTAAAACAAATCTACTTTCTAAATTTGCACCCAAATCACAATAAAATTGAAGAGGAAAAAAAAATGGTATTGAAGGAAGAAGTCCAAGCTGCACTGAAGGAATTGGTGAAAAACAAGACTTCAGGAATTGATGGAATACCCACAGACATGTTTCAACAAATGGGTGTAGCACTTTGAGGTGCTTACTTGTTTATGCCAAGAAATTTGGGATACAGCTACCTGGCCAATTGACTGGAAGAGATACATATTTGTGTCCATTCCAAAGAAAGGTGATCCAACAGAATGTGGAATTTATAGAACAATATTATTAAGATTACATGCAAGTAAAATTATGCTGGAAATCATTTCAAAACACTTGCAGCTGTACATTTACAGGGAATTGCCAGAAATTCAAGCTGGATTTAGAAGAGGACATAGAATAAGGGATATCATTGCTGATGTCAGATGGACCTTGGCTGAAAGCAAAGAATACCACAAAGATGTTTACTTGTGTTTTATTGACTATGTAAAAGCATTAGACTGTATGGGTCATGACAAATTATGGATAACATTGAGAAGAATGGAAATTCTAGAATACTTAATTGTGCTTATGAGGAATGTGTACATAGACTGGGACGCTGTCATTTGAAAAGAACAAGGGGATACTACATGATTTAAAATCAGGAAAAGTGTGTATCAGGAAAAGTATGTATCTTTTCACTATACTTGTTCAGTCTGTATGCTGAACAAATAATTTGAGAAGCTGGACTATAGGAAGAAGAATACTGCATCAGGATGGGAGGAAGACTTGTTAACAACCTGCAATATGTAGATGACACAGCCTTGCTTCCTGGGAATGGAAGATGATTTGAAGCACTTACTGATGAAAATCAAAGACTGCGGACTTTAGTATGGATTCTACCTCAACATAAAGAAAACGAAAATCCTCACAACTGGACCTATAAGCATCACAATAAATGGAGAAAAGATCGAAGTTGTCAAAGATTTCGTTTTACTTGGATCCACAACCAACATCTATGGAAGCAATAGTCAAGAAATCAGACATTATATTGCACTGGGCAAATCTGCTACAAGGGGCTTCTTTAAAGCGTTAAAGAGCAAAGATGTCACTTTGAAGACTAAGGTGTGCCTAATCCAAGCCATAGTATTTTCTCTTTTTTTTTTTTTCCAAGCCATAGTGTTTTCAATTGCTTCATATGTGTGAAAGGTGGACAATGAATAAGGAAGACCAAAGAAGAATTGATGCCTTTGAACTGTGGTGTTGGTGAAGAACACTGAATGAAAATACTGTGGACTATCAGAAGAACAAATAAATCTCTGTCTTGGAAGAAGTGTAGCTGAATGCTCCTTAGAAGTGAGAATGGCTAGACTTCCTCTCACCTACTTTGATCATGTTGTTGAAGTCAGAGCAAACATAGGTCCCTGCCTGGTGCGCAGTCAAGCCAAAACAGTTAACACACCAAGTAATTAAAAGGAGAGAAAATTATTTATTGCAAAGCAGCAATGCAAGGAGACAAGGGCCAGTACCCAAATCTGACTCCCCAAATCCAGGTCAGGATACAGTTTTGTAAGCTTCAGGAGAGGGGGTTATAGATATTCATAAAAACTTCAGGAATTTGGGCGTGAATTAACTAGGGATTGGCTGAGGCTTCCTTTACCTCAGTTTAAAGGGACAGTCGATTTTTAGTGTAGTGCGCTTGTGCACCGGTTGAGTCACACCGGCTTCCTGTCATCAGCTGATCGATGCTTAGGCAGAAGGGAGAATGTCAGTTCCCAGCAACTTTGTTCCTGTTTGTCTTTTGTGCATGTCCGCAGGCCAAGGTTAATTTTCAAGTTGTCTCCTGAAACATATTAACATACTTATCACCTGTTTCTAGGGGATAACATGGGGAGAATGTGTAAATTGATCTTTCATTTCGTTCAGTTGTTAAGGAACTAAGTTATCATGTTTATTTATCTGCCTCCAACTGGGGTCCTACCCTTCTTAATCAGGGTGGGGGAATAGTTGAGCTTTCATCCTATTCAGTTCTTAAGGAACTGAGTTATCATGTTTACTTATCTGTC